TTAATAATAATTCACCACACGAGGAACCAGAACCACTAAGCCAGGCAGTAGGAAGGCAGCCAAGAGGAACCAGAACCACTAAGCCAGGCAGTAGGAAGGGAGCCAAGAAGAACCAGAGCCAGGGAGCCAGGCAGCAGGAAGGGAGCCAAGAGGAACCAGAGCCAGGGAGCCAGGCAGTAGGAAGGGAGCCAAGAGGAACCAGAGCCAGGGAGCCAGGCTGCAGGAAGGGAGCCAAGAGGCTGACTAAAGTGGCTCTATTTGGGCAGGATGTTGAGACTGGGATTCTGGGATCGGTTCTCTCCTAGATGCTGCTGCCGCAGAAAAATCTGTTTGTGCGTGTTTGTTTGTAGGAGGGAGTTTATGCTGAGTTGTCTTTGTAGAGAACACCATATGTCTGGCTCTCACGGTTGTGCCACCCCCTGCCCTGCCCCCACCTGCACCACCCTGCACTGCCTGTCTCAATAGAAGATGGATGTTATGATAGGGAATGTGAATTAAAGCTTCCATGTTTGGGCACTCCTCTCCTTTGCATAGAAATATGATTAACAGAATGTATAGACATGGTTGTCTCTCCCTTGTGATACTTCATGGGTGCACCGTAATGGTGTCTGTCTGGATTGTGTACATCTATGTGCTGTTAGTACTCAGATCACTTAGAAAGGTTGTGGTGATCAGCATCACAGAATGTAACATTCCAAAAACAGCCCTTCCTGGATGGTGGATTGGCTGGTTTCTCATTGGATTCCCTCTCTGTGCCCAGGACATCCCAGAATACCCAGTCCCTAAGGCTGTGCTGGGGCCAGGGCTGGTGTGGGGGATGGGGTTTGATGGAGATGTGGTGGTGAGGGTGTGAAGAAGGGAGGGGAGAGAGGGGGGGGGGTGAAGCTGGTAGCCTTTGAATGAGGAGGATGGAGGTTTGAATGTAGGCTTGGAGGGGAGGGTAGTGGTGGTGAGGGGGGTTGAGGAGTAGGGGGATCCTTTGTGGCCTTTAGCCAACCCCCTTCATTCTAATGCTACACACACACAGGAAGAATCCTTGGAACTCCTAAGCCTGAATGAAAGGGGTGCTGCCCCCCTACTCTATATTCATTCATCCGAGATACGGTCTCCCCCAGCAACCAGGGACACGCCCTGTTCTTTTGTCCAAGGATATCTGAGGCCCATCTGTGTGAGACCCCTAATCCTACTCACGACACACACACCCCGTGGAGTGTGTGTGTGTGTTTGTGTTTGTAGGCGGTTGTCCCCCCAAAAAACTGCTATCCTACCTCACCAGAAAGGGATTAATCAGGAAACAAAGACAATTGGACAAGAGAACATTATACAGCATTCATTTTAGATTAATGTTTTTGTTAAACAAAGTCCAAACAATAACCAGCATATTCATGTGTACAAAACATTATTCAACATAGCTCACATATTCCGAAATGAAACAACATATTAATGTATACACATGCATTCATGAATCAGAATAATAACTAACAGACATGATACAGATTGATCTGTCAGTTCTGTTCTGTATAGAAATCTACCATCACATTGACATGAACGGCAACATTTAGGTTTGCGATCCACCACTAATCACATTGGCAACATGAAAGAGTGAGATGACACAGAATACTGGTTGGTGTGAAGAGTGACTGTGGGATGATGAGAGATGGTGTCTGTCTGTCCTTAGGGGGTCCCAGGACGTGACACTCACATCAAAGACTTTGTAACACAATGGAGAGAGCTCACTCATCAAAGACTGTGTATAATGATAAAGATAGCTCCTCCTGGTTGTTTCTGCCTGCACTGATGTGGAGAAAGCTGTTCTCTATGGACAAAGTTGAGTGGGTTTAGGCCTCCCTGCGTGTGAGTGCTCCCAAGAGGTCTGGACCTTTATGGCAGACCTTTATAGCATGGTTGCTGGTTCAAGTCCATTCTCAAGGCACATGTTAGCACTGGTTTTAAATAGTACTGGTGTAGTGTTTGTTCATACTGTTATTACACAGTGTTCTATTCAGGCCCAGTCCCTAAAGGAAACACCACGTTATCAGTGGCAGGGACTAACTCCCTCAGGTTGGAAGAAACCCACTCAACTCCTCATTGTCTTTGCTACCAGAATGTTAACTAAGCTCTCGTTTCTGCTCTTCATGCTGCTTCAGTACTTACCAGAACAATATGTCTGTCTTGGTTCAGAAGAGTGGAGCCAGGGTTACCAGAACAATATGTCTGTCTTGGTTCAGAAGAGTGGAGCCAGGGTTACCAGAACAATATGTCTGTCTTGGTTCAGAAGAGTGTAGCCAGGAACAGTTCTTAGGGTACCTTGCGGTGTCAGAAATCCGTTGGTCTCCTCAGCCTTCGGTGACAGCTAGCCTCTCGGCGGGTTGCTAACGCTCGCGGTTCACTGTGTCTGTCGCGTCTGTCACCCCAAGATGTGACAGCGGACTCCCTGGGGTCAGACGGGGCTGTGTGTGTGTGTGTTTGTCAAAGATGAGGCAGCATGCTGTCATCACCAGCTCTGAATCAATGAATAATAACAAAGTGCTGAATCATCAGCGGACCTGGAGAGAAAAACCGAAAATTAAAAAAGTGCTGTCAGGTTTTACTAAGCCCTATATTTCCATGTACTGTATCACTTTGTCACTGACTGTGTAAATAGGATGGGCCAACAACCCTGCTCCCTAGAATATGTACGAATCATAGCCTATTAGACTGTAAATAATGTTTCTGATAAATGCTTTTAGATTCACGTTCTCTTCCTGAAGGCTACAAAGTGCCTAATTTCCATCCCTGTCTTTCAATTAGCAACTAATACATACAGACCTCAATAGTTTAGATTGGCTTTCTCTCCTTGTCTCATTTCCTACATTTGCACTGATCAGTATGAAAATGTATGCACTCACTAACTGTAAGTCGCTCTGGATAAGAGCGTCTGCTAAATGACTAAAATGTAAATCTGAAAGAACTGGACAGGTGAAAACCCCATTGGGTGGGTTACAGGGACCTATCCAGCCTATAACATATCAGTGCAGATCAAGGCGAGGCTACGAGGAGACTATTCGTTACACTATTGGGATGTCCTGCTGGGAAGCCAGGTGAACAGACCTTATAGCCCATTAATCACTACTCTGACTGATCAATAAAGTGCCAAAGTGGAGCAATAACCAGCTGACACAGCACTAACCCTGAGGACCGGAAACAACCCATTACCCTGCTGCTTGTAATCCAATCTGCCTGAAAGATAAACCCAGCTCCATCTCAACCAGCCCTCTCTCAGATTCTCAGCCTTTTGGCTGAATAGGTTCACCCAGTTCAAATCACAGCACGCCAGGCCAGCTGGCTAAATGACTCCAAACAGGTGATGACTCCAAACAGGCAATTCATTTTAGTGTGGCCTTTCTCTAGCCCTGTTAATCATGTTAAGTACTTAGTAACGGTAAATACATCTCTGGTGGTACTGTGACACCAGTATTAGTCATCGTCAGCCGTGGCGAGGAACACTGATACAGTTTAATTAGATTAAAGTTTTATAGAGAAAAAGGTCCGGTGAACAAATATATTTTACATAGAGATAAGAACCATTAGACTGTACATACAGTACTGCAACAGAGAGAGCATGTCGGATACGTTACAGCTGATACAAAGGGTATTTAAGATGAAGTCAACACATGAGTTAGAGGACAGTTTGGTATATAAGAAACTAGTGTTTAGGGTAGAATGCAACATAAATCACATAATCCTCTTTAGATTGTAGAATCATAAAAAGCCCAGTGCATTGTCAGTGTTCTACCATTTTAGAGCCAGCATAGCCAATGGAATGTGATGTTACAGTGTAGTGTACCCACCCCTCCCCTTCATGTGAAATCAATGACAGTAGTGGATGAATGAAGCGGAAACAAGAGTAGCTCGACGTTAGCTTACACAGCTCAGTGTAGACTCTTACAATGTAACAAAAAGAACAGACGACAGATGATGGCACTGTACCGGAGCTAAAATAAGATTTTCGTTTTGACATTCCTATGGTCTGAGTAGCAGTCAGGGGCACAGAGCAGCAGTATGTGTTCTGGTCCAATCATATCGCCCAGGCACTCTAACAGAGGACACACTATAAGGAGACTGAGTTCAACAACTACCTTCATGATATAGCACTTTGTGACATGTAAAAAGGGCTTTATACATTTGATTGATATACAGTGGCATCATGATATGTGAATTAGATACAAAATTATCTAATTTATGTCTACATATAAAAAGTAATGGCCTTAGAGCCGCTGCTGTACTGTTGATGGGTGAAACAGGATGCGAGTCATTTGGACATTCCCATGTCATCTCACGTTACAGCATATTATAATATCTCCAAAGCCCAAAAACAACAGCATGTGTATAAAACTAGCATACAAAAGTATTCTCAGCATTAGTACAACAAACACAGGATAACTAAGCAACGTAATATGGCTGTTCTGACAAGGCACTGCAGTAATGTGCTGCTTCACAGACCAACAATATGAACACCACTCATTAAACAACACCGGCACAACATAAAGACATCAGCACATTAGTCAGTTAGTGTCTCTCTTTTACCTCCTACATCAACTTACCTTATGGTTAAAGTTAAGTTTTGTTCATTTCTTAGTGGTTTAAATATTAGTGAACACCGTATACAGTGTAGAAATTCTAAGAGGTTTCAAGCAGATTAACATTGAGAAGAGATGTACAAATAGGTGTGATTAGACAATATTGTTTTCAATCAAAATGTAATAGTGAATTCAGACTTCATTATTGGGGCATCTCTGGTGTCCTTTCACCAGATGTGGAGCCTGAACACAAGCCATAATACTAAACTGTGTCTAGCAGTGCAGTGATGGTTGAGTGACAGAGTTGTATTTCTAGTGCAGACTGACCAACAGTCATATCCTTCATTCTTATTGCACTGACTGTACACACCCTTTACAGGGGCCAGGACAGCTAAACGGAACCAGGACTCAGTGTTCTTGCATCAGCCCTCTCTCCCTCCCTCAGAGGCCTTGAGTTAGAACAGGGATGTCTATCTCTATGCCAGACATGCGTGAGCGTGTTGAGTAGCGGTGGCCTACGTAGCTGGGGGCGTAGCCCACCTGAGAGGGGGCATAACTCTGGGACGGGGTGTAGCTGTAAGCCTGGTTCACCCCCATCTCTGACCCATACCCATCCGGGGCTGACATCTGGGACAAATAGACCTGCTGGGGCTGCAGGGCAGGGGGGGCTACGCTCTGAGGGTAGCCCTGGGAGGGCGCGTAGGGCTGGGCATCCATCACAGTGGGGGCGTATCCCTGTGGAGGGAAGGTCTGAGGGGGGCCATAGACGGGGGAGGGGGGGTACCCGTTGGCGGTGAGGGGCTGGGTGGAGAGGGAGTTGGGGAGGGTGGGTAGAGGCAGCCAGAAGGGAGAGGGCAGCTTCTTACACATGCAGTACCACATGAACATCAGCAGGGCGGCGAGCATGAGGCCGCCGGAACAGCCGATGGCCACGTAGACCGCGAACCCGTCGGAGAAGATGCGGTCGAACTTGATGTTCATCTCCTTGGTCCGGAACAAGAACCACACGGATGGCGCCAGGGCGATGGCCCCGCCCAGGAACAGGAACATCCCGGCCACTAGGTGGCAGCCTGCGCTGTTGACCAGACAGCGGGTACTCTTGATGTCTGCCTCAGGCTTATCAGAGCAGCAGCAGGTCTTAGACATGCCTGCCATACACAGCACCAGGGCCAGGGAGCCAAACAGTAGCCCAGTCGGCAGGCAGAACTGGAGCAGTCTCAGGTCCAACTGGTCCACTTTAGAATACCACTGTGGGGAGAAGGAAGGAATAAATGATAAATAATTTATGCAAATCTCAAATGGCACCCTGTTTCCTGTATAGTGCACTATATGGGGGGAATATGGGATACTGTATGTCCTTATGACTTTGTAATCATTACATGTGCGATCATCAGACCCATACCTCTGAGTCGTAGTAGTAGCAGCCAGAGTAGCCATCTTGTTTCACACACTTTGCCCACAGGCCGTCGTAGACGCTGATGTTCTTGGCGTTTTTGTTGAAGGTGACAAGTCGTGTCACTCGCCACTGTGGGATCAGCGTCGCCACAGCGATGCCGCCCACGGAGATGAAGGCGATGATAAAGGAGAAGGCATTGGTGGCGTGGATGTCCCGGCACGACATAGCCGCCGCAGACAGGAAGTGATGTCAACAGAGGACTTCCTATTCTTTTGGATAAAGAGAGTATGGGAAAATGAGAAAGGGCCTGTTTAGTTCTGAATATAAATATGTGACAGAGCATTTCCTATTCTGCATGGCAGGGAGCCCTTTCTGCTTGACAACAATCCACAGCATTACACTGTACTCTTGAAACCAACATCGAAGTTTATGCCACTGGGGGAGGTGACCCAGCTACGGGCAAACCCCTCATATGTTCCTATTCACTAACACAGCTGACCTAGAATCTGCATGTGACTGAAAACAATGCTCTCATTTCATTGGAACTCAGACACTTACAAACTAAGCCTATTAGGCAAGTACTGTAGTACTACTCCACAACAGGGGCTGTCCAGAAAAAAACAATGGACAATAGACTGGTCTACTTTTACTACCGTACCATAATGCTTCTCAATCCATTAAACTCAATTGTCTCAAAGTAGAACCAGTTATTTACCAATGTGTAACTGACTCGCTATGTTTACAGCGCTGGAATATAACGTTACTGTGTGGATGTTTTACTGAGCAGACTGGCATAACATGGCAGACATCTATTAAGAATTCAGTAGTGACTGTGTGTGTGTGTAGTCAGTGCTCAGCTAGCTAGCATTAAATTAGCTAGTTAGCCTACTAACTTACTTGAGTTGTTCTCCCCGTATGCTTGTGAAGTTGTGGATATGTAATTTAGCTGTGATGTCTTCTACATGCAGTTGTTCAAACAATGTTGATACAAACTAGCTAATCATTAACCAGCTGACTAACTAGCTAGCTAATAATAATACGTTAGCATTAGCTAGAAACCTGTTGCGCCCTGCATTGTCGAAAAGATGGAACTAGCTAGCTAGCTAAACGCTAGAGCTCACAGAAGCTCAACTGACTATCAAAAAGAGAGGTCGAACTTCATACCTTTTGATTTCTGTAATTTTAACGCGTTTATTAGGGAGAAACCGCAGCTATTCCAGTTTGTTGTTGAGTTTTTCAGTTCCGGAGCAGTTCCCCGTCCGCAGCGCACTCGCTTCTTGCGCGTCCCCGTGGTTGGCAAGAGAACGTGACGTCACCCGCGCGTTCATATTCACACTGTCTGTTGTCAGACAGCGCATCTGATTAAATTAACATGAATATACATGGTTGGATGAATTTTTTTTTTAAAGAGAGAAAATAATGAATGATAACCCCGCCTTTCTTTCTTAATGTCTTGCAGGGTGACGTCCAGATCCACATGATCTATAAATCAGCAGGACAGGGGGCAGCAGCTTACTACCTTCCAAATGGTAAGATATCTCCTGTAAGAGTTATGAGGGGTGGATTGGAAGTAACATAAATTAACGAACTATTGGATAACGGATAAATAAAATAAATAAATAAATAAATATTGCAAAACTTAGTTCTGGCCACACAATCTGATTGGTTACCATGAGTTGCAGCTGAGCCAATATCCTGTATCAGAGCCTTAGGCCTATAGAAATGCATAAGCCTGACTAAACATAATATAGAACTGCATAGCTTGGTTACTGTTAGATGTGGAGCATGTTATAGTGAAAGTTATAACCCCATACACTAACATACAATAATGCACTAACCCTCCTTTATTTGTTTTTTCCCCAGTTGACCTCCCAGAGCCTCCTTTCCTCAGCCCTCCATTTCCTGGGTCAAAGGTCGTCCACAGGAGGAAGAAGAGACAGGTGAGTGAGAACTATGGAAGGACCCAGGCTTTCCTCCTACTATCCTTTTGGGCACAGTTATGGAGGAGTCATCATTTACTGTAACTGGGGGAGGAATGCCGAGAAAGGAGTCATCTTGAGTTCAGTTGTGTGTGTGTTTGAGAGTGTGTGTGTACTATATAATTGTGCATGGTTATGTGTGTGTGTGTATGAGTGTGTTGGAGATAATTAAATAGTGCTATGCTTGATCTTCACGTTGTTGACTATGCATGCTGTATGTTAATTCACTGAGGTAGAAATTAGGTGATTTCCTTGTCCCCCCTCTCGTCTTCTTCTTATAAAATATTCACCATGTGAGTGAAGGTTGTTCTCTGTGGCTCCTCATCCTCCACTGCCTGCAGACAGACTGGTGTGGATGTGTCTGCATCTCTATCTATCTATCTATCTATCTATCTATCTATCTATCTATCTATCTATCTATCTATCTATCTATCTATCTATCTATATATCTCTGTTCTCCCGCTCCTTTTCTCTCTTTGTTCCCTGAGAGCTATGCTGACGTGGTTTACAGGAAAGCACAGACAGACCTGATGTGGTTGAAACATCCCGTCATCCTAGCATCATTCTTCCTGTTTCTATGATGCGTTTTGGTGGAAACAGTCATCATACATCATACAAATATGTTTTTACAGTAAGAGAGAGAGAGAGTTTTAATGTATGTGTGTGTGTGTGTGTGCTAGATCCATTGAAGCTTACAGTCTGCTCTGTGTTGCTCTCGTAGGCCCCGTGGGTTGGAGGCAGTGTGGACGAGGAGACCAAGTACATTGAGCTGATGGTGATCAACGACCATCTGATGGTGAGAGCAGTCAGTCTGTGTGTGTGTGTGTTCTTTCTTTCACTGATGTTACCCCCAATAAAGAAGCTAGGGGTTCAGGTATAAGGCTGACTCTCTCTCTCTCTCTCTCTCTCTCTCTCTCCAGTATAAAAAGCATCGTCTCTCTGTTGGTCAGACAAATAACTACGCTAAGTCTGTGGTCAATATGGCTGATATGGTAAGTTACCTAAACATAATCTTTTTGGTATTGGATATTTTGTCAACTAGCAGTGACTATCTGGCCTCCATGAGCTACATGAGCCTAGAGACAGTAGCATCATCTGGGCTTTAGAATCTCAACCGATCCAGGGCGGAATCTTCAGTGTCACCGTCTGCAACGACACCTGGTCTCCTCAGCCCTGTCTGTCTGCTGTGCTGCTGAAATTTGATAGGCCCGTTGCAGAGGAACAGGGTCACATTTGAAAGCTGATAGGCTGGTGTAAAAGGGTCATGTCTGTTTGCGTGCCCTTGAGATTTAGTGATGATATAAAAAGGATGCTATATAGGAAATGTGTTTGATAGATTTTTTGTTTTGTTTTAAGAATAGGATAGAACTGAAAGCGTCTCTGTCCGCTGTGCATTATTGACTTAATGGAATGTTCTTGGCTTACTGTGCAACCACAAGGCCTAAATACAGACAACAGTGATCCTTCATGTTCCCTCCCTCTCCTCTGTGCATCAGTCCATCCCTCGCTCCTCTCTGCGCACCTGAGCCTAAAAACAAACAACAAATCCTCTCCTTTCTCCCCTCTCCATCTCTATCCATGTGAGACTACTGCTGGCATTCAGCTAAATCAATCAGTCTTTACAGGTGTCCTTTCCTCCCTCCCCTCACCGTCTCCACTGTTTATCTGGGCAGTCAAACAGGTTGTTTAATAGATTTTCATCCCATTCAGACAAACATGTTCTCTCACTGTGCCGCTCGTCCCCACTGTGTCCTTGAAGAGACTATTAGCCTCTGTTGATTCTGTCTGGCCACGGAGCAGTGTTCTCATAGGCTGCTCAGATTAGAATCACAAACACTACCATTATTTGTTGTTGCCCCCCAGACAGAAGTATGTTGGAATGGATGTTGTCATTAGATCTCAGTCAGCTTTCAAGGTCATTAAGGTCATTTCAGTAGTTTTGGAGGAAATGTTTTGATGTCAGTCACTCTCAAGAGACAGGCAGCACCGTATTTCCTGCAGCTGTTCTGTCAGTCTGATTGGTGTTCTGATGTCACCCTTCCTTCCCAGATCTTCAAGGAGCAGCTCAACACCCGCATCGTGCTGGTTGCCATGGAGACGTGGGCAGCCGACAACCGGTTCAACATCGACGATGACCCCATGGTGACCTTGAGGGAGTTCATGAAGTACAGACGAGACTTCATCAAAGAGAAGTGTGACTCTGTGCATCTTTTCTCGTAAGTCTGTCTGTCTCTGTGTGGGGTGGGGGAGAGCGGGTGGTATGGGTTCTGTCTGTCTCTGTGTGGGGTGGGGGGGGAGAGCGGGTGGTATGGGTTCTGTCTGTCTCTGTGTGTGGGGGGGGGGGGGAGAGGGGGTGGTATGGGTTCTGTCTGTCTCTGTGTGTGTGGGGGGAGAGCGGGTGGTATGGGTTCTGTCTGTCTCTGTGTGGGGTGGGGGAGAGCGGGTGGTATGGGTTCTGTCTGTCTCTGTTGTGTGGGGGTGGGGAGAGCGGGTGGTATGGGTTCTGTCTGTCTCTGTGTGGGGTGGGGAGAGGGGTGTGGTATGGGTTCTGTCTGTCTCTGTGTGTGGGGGGGGGGGGGGAGGGGGTGGTATGGGTTCTGTCTGTCTCTGTGTGGGGTGGGGGGAGAGGGGGTGGTATGGGTTCTGTCTGTCTCTGTGTGGGGTGGGGGAGAGCGGGTGGTATGGGTTCTGTCTGTCTCTGTGTGTGGGGGGGGGGGGTGGTATGGGTTCTGTCTGTCTCTGTGTGTGGGGGGGGAGAGGGGGTGGTATGGGTTCTGTCTGTCTCTGTGTGGGGTGGGGGAGAGGGGTGGTATGGGTTCTGTATGGCTTTAGAGCAGCGTTTCCCAAAATAAGGGCTTTCTGATTAATTTTTGTCACTTCAAACCATACTTCCTTCAGATTGAAGTATTGTCAGACTGATTTGTAATAGACTGTCATAGCCCCAAATGAAAAAGTAAACATTGACTGTTGATGACATCCTTTATTTTTTATTTTTTTACATGGTGTGATATCAAAATGTGATATCACAATGAGGTGATGGGATAAAAAAGTCTGGGAACCCCTGGTTTAGACATTGAATCACTTCCTCTCTTTTTACCAGAGGGAACCGGTTCCATAGCAACTGGGGAGGAGCTTCCTATATGGGAGGAGTCTGCTCTCTAACTAAAGGAGGTGGAGTCAATGAGGTAGGCCCCGCTTCAGGATGAAAATGGACCTTGATCAGCATCTCTTTTAAGTACAACTTAAGAACTTATTCTCTCTCTTTCTCTCTCTCTCTCTCTCTCTCTCTCTCTCTCTCTCTCTCTCTCTCTCTCTCTCTCTCTCTCTCTCTCTCTCTCTCTCTCTCTCTCTCTCTCTCTCTCTCTCTCTCTCTCTCTCACTCTCTCTTTTCTCCTCCCTTCCTCTGTCAGTATGGGAAGACAGATGAGATGGCTATAACCCTGGCCCAGTCTCTGGGACAAAACATCGGCATCTTCTCTGACAAGAAGAGGATCCTCAACGGTACGATCCTGTACACACACACACACACACACACACACTGGCCACACACACACCAACTGGCCACACAGATACATGTATGTTGTGTGTTCCACAGGCGAGTGCAAGTGTGACGACCGTTGGTCTGGCTGCATCATGGACGATGTTGGGTAAGTTTCCTCTAAAGTACTTTGTTTCCCTAACAACCCGTCCCACACTGCCACGGCAACATACCCCATCTGCGGCAATGCCGACATTCCAAACGTGTTTTCTCTCTGTGCGTCTCTGTGTCGCTGTGATGTCATAGTATGTTAGTCTCTTAGAGAAGAGGGTTGTCACCATCTGACCATGTTAGAAAGGATGGAAGTACTGCACTTTTAACCACTAACCCTAACTCACCATAACCTTACCCCTAACCCTAACTCTCACCTTTAAACCTAACCCTCAACTTTAAACCTAACCATAACCCTGAACCTAACCTTAACTCCAACTAAGAACAAATATCTCATATACTTATTCATCAGTTCTGATGATAATGCCACCTTTGTCCATCTTAGGAAGGCCAGATAGTGACTACCCAGAAAAGTAGTCTGTCTGACTTAGTTGCACATTTAGACAGGGAGAGATCATCTGAATCAGGAAAAATAATACATTCACAGTGATTCTCTTATTAGTGTTGACTCTGGGTAAATAATGTCTGGAGCAGTAGAAAATACTTTAGACTGAGTTGTAGTTCAGGAAATGTTCCACTCGATGGCAGTAGAGATTGTTGTTTACTCCATACATCAGTAACTTCAGGCACTGGACTGTTTGGCCAGGGATTCATATTAGTAATACTAGCTGTGAGTAATTGGTCATGTCCTGTACTGCCACGTAGAGTTCCACCAATCACATTCTATATTCTGAATCATATGTTATACCTCTCTCTGTTAACTGTGGAGCTCTTGTACTGCCTTGTCAGCCAAATGTTTACCGTTCAATGTGTGTTTCTGTGTGTACACGCTTGCTGCTTTGCAGCTTGTGTGTGTGTGAGTGTATCTATATGGATGCAACTGTGTGAGCGCTGTGTGTGTGTGTGTGTTAGTATGGAGGATATGTGTCTTTACCCCTCTTCTTTAATACCTCTTGCGTTTCCCCTCAATCCCAAATGGGACAGCAGGTGAGCAAAAGCTTGGCTGGAACGCTGCTCGTGCGGTTTGAACCAATCGGCTGCCTGGAGGGGTTGTCAGTCATCTCAACCTTTCCCATTCCATCCAATAGCATTACGGCCTCTGTGGCTCGATGTCCCGCCTTAGCTTCGTCTTCTTCTTCTTCTTCTTCTTCAGATGATGCAGTATAATGAAATACAGCTCTGTGGTCTGATCTCAGCTGAATTTATTTATGTTCATTATGTGTATATTTTTCAGATATATGTTTCATATATATTTTTCATATATATTTTCAGTTTTGGGCTGATGTCACTCGCTGAGCACTTCTGCAACAACGGATTGTACTACTGTTATACTCATAGAGGGATCCCTTTTCCCCCGTAATGCTTTGACAATGAGCCCTACCCATCATGTCTTGTCCATCTAACCGATTGATACAGTCTGCAATGTCATTCCCGTACGAGACCAATATGACTTACAGTGAGGGAAAGAAGTATTTGATCCCCTGCTGATTTTGTACGTTTGCCCACTGACAAATAAATTATCAGTCTATAATTTTTATGGTAGGTTTATTTGAACAGTGAGAGACAGAATAACAACAAAAAAATCCAGAAAAACAAATGTCAAAAATGTTATAAATTGATTTGCATTTTAATGAGGGAAATAAGTATTTGACCCCCTCTCAATCAGAAAGATTTCTGGCTCCCAGGTGTCTTTTATACAGGTAACGAGCTGAGATTAGGAGCACACTCAGTGCTCCTAATCTCAGCTTGTTACCTGTATAAAAGACACCTGTCCACAGAAGCAATCAATCAATCAGATTCCAAACTCTCCACCATGGCCAAGACCAAAGAGCTCTCCAAGGATGTCAGGGACAAGATTGTAGACCTACACAAGGCTGGAATGGGCTACAAGACCATTGCCAAGCAGCTTGGTGAGAAGGTGACAACAGTTGGTGCGATTATTCGCAAATGGAAGAAACACAAAATAACTGTCAATCTCCCTCGGCCTGGGGCTCCATGCAAGATTTCACCTCGTGGAGTTGCAATGATCATGAGAACGGTGAGGAATCAGCCCAGAACTACACGGGAGGATCTTGTCAATGATCTCAAGGCAGCTGGGACCATAGTCACCAAAAAAACTATTGGTAACACACTAGGCCGTGAATGACTGAAATCCTGCAGCGCCCGCAAGGTCCCCCTGCTCAAGAAAGCACATATACAGGGCCGTCTGAAGTTTGCCAATGAACATCTGAATGATTCAGAGGAGAACTGGGTGAAAGTGTTGTGGTCAGATGAGACCAAAATGGAGCTCTTTGGCATCAACTCAACTCGCCGTGTTTGGAGGAGGAGGAATGCTGCCTATGACCCCAAGAACACCATCCCCACCGTCAAACATGGAGGTGGAAACATTATGCTTTGGGGGTGTTTTTCTGCTAAGGGGACAGGACAACTTCACCGCATCAAAGGGACGATGGACGGGGCCATGTACCATCAAATCTTGGGTGAGAACCTCCTTCCCTCAGCCAGGGCATTGAAAATGGGTCGTGGATGGGAGCTGAAGGTTCGAGTTGCCAAACGTCAGCCTCGAAACCTTAATGACTTGGAGAAGATCTGCAAAGAGGAGTGGGACAAAATCCCTCCTGAGATGTGTGCAAACCTGGTGGCCAACTACAAGAAACGTCTGACCTCTGTGATTGCCAACAAGGGTTTTGCCACCAAGTACTAAGTCATGTTTTGCAGAGGGGTCAAATACTTATTTCCCTCATTAAAATGCAAATCAATTTATAACATTTTTGACATGCGTTTTTCTGGATTTTTTTGTTGTTATTCTGTCTCTCTCTGTTCAAATAAACATACCATTAAAATTATAGACTGATCATTTCTTTGTCAGTGGGCAAATGTACAAAATCAGCAGGGGATCAAATACTTTTTTCCCTCACTGTATCTCCATTAATACTGTACCCAACAGCAGGATTCTATCTTTGATATTGTTACCTGACCTCAGCGACCTCTCCGTGGGGTCAGCATGTCAAAGGTCAGAAGTTATTATTTACCCTTTCCCCAGCACATGGCTCTTACCCAGACTCCCTCTCTCTGAGCAGAGGTCAATGGTATTTCAGACACTCGTATTCAATGAGCAAGCCTCAGTCACGCCCATTGATGTCTTGTCTCTTCTCAGCGCCTGTATGTCTGTTCCTATTAACTAATACTGACAATCTGCTGTGTGGGGGTTCTCTCTCCCTATCTGGGCTCCTTAATTAATGTGTGATCTATCTGGGTTCTATCTCTAGTTTGTGTGTGTGTGTGTGTGTTTCTGTGTGTGTGTGTATCTGTATTGCCAGTGATTAATTGGAGGTCTCTCTCTCTCTCTCTCTCTCTCTCTCTCTCTCTCTCTCTCTCTCTCTCTCTCTCTCTCTCTCTCTCTCTCTCTCTCTCTCCCTGTTATTGTGAGTCTTTGTTTCATTACTGAACCCTAATCAGTATGACTCTCACTTCTATTGTAAGTGCTACAATAATCCACAGTCAACTCAGCCCCTTCACTTCCACCATTTTCTTTCTCCGTGAAAGCTCCTGTTGGGCCCAGCATTTTCTGCATTGTGTTTGTAGCGCTAGCTCCCATTAGCCACTCTCTAGCATTACTACTCAAAGCAGATACATATTTGCTGTATAATTTAGCAAAAGTGCTATGGCGAGACAGGACAATAGCATCTGAGGCTAAGCCCTGATTGCAGGTTAACACTAACAATGACATACTAACAACAGAAAGACCCCTGATTGAGTGTCAATTGCTTACTAGCAAACCAGGTCCTATTGATTGCTTCAGGACAAAGGTGCTCTGCAGAAATGTATTCATTTCAAGTCAATCAATTTCTGCAACAAAAGACACCTTTGTCCTTAAACTATCAATGGGACCTGATTTCTGCCACCACGCATCACTGCTTGTGCATATGTTATGATTCACAACCAGAAGCAACGACAAGGACAATAACAACAACAACAACGTGATAAATAATATTTCCTCTACACCATCAGTCAATATTAATCTTGTATGCAAATGACATACCTCCACTATCCCTATTCTATTAACCTAACTTTGACTGTGGTCATCAACAGATAAAAGGTGTGTGTGTGTGTGTTATTCTATAAATGGTGGACTGTAAGGGATTGAACTGAAATGGAACCAACTCTTAGAATCAGTCAGAAATGTTAGTCAGTCTTGTTGAAAACGTTTTGTGGTAAATGTTTCCTCCCTGATCATATATGGTATACCGTAAGTATATACGACACTACTGGCCTTCTGTCTGTGAGGACAAAGCTAAAGCAAGACAGAGTGGCACAGCTGTGTGTGTCTCAGAGGGATGTGTATTGTTGATGCCGTGCTGCAGTTCTTTCCAGTGTAACTGCGTGACTCTGTGGTTGTGTTGAACAGCTTCTACCTGCCCAAGAGGTTCTCCAACTGCAACGTGGAGGAGTACCACAACTTCCTCAACAGTGGGGGGGGAGCCTGTCTCTTCAACAAACCCCTCAAGGTACACACACACGCACGCACGCACGCACACAACACACACACAACACACACACACACACAACTTCAAAATGCCGCTGGAGGTGATAATGAAGAAAAATAACTTTAAAATGTATAAAACACTTTTCTTAAATTTCACCCAAAGCGCTTAGATAAACCTAACCACTCTCTTTCTCTCTCTTCTCTCTCCTCTCTTGTACACTCCCCCTCTCTCTCTCTGTGACTCAAGCTGTTGGACCCTCCAGAGTGTGGGAATGGTTTGGTGGAGCCAGGGGAGGAGTGTGACTGTGGCAGCCCAGCGGTGAGTAGCTGAGAGTGGACAGACATCGGCCCTAGACACCTCTAGTCCTGGAGAATCTACAGGAAACCTTGATTCATATGTGTTTGTTTATATGTGTTTGTATTCCCTCATTAGGAGTGCGAGAGGGAGGGAGAGAAGTGCTGTCAGAAGTGTACACTCACACAAGGCTCAAAGTGTAGCGACGGACTCTGCTGTAACAACTGTCAGGTACAGGTCACTATGCATTGTCACAACACACACACACACGCATATATGCATGCATACACCTGCTGACATCATTTGACCTGTGTTGTGTGTGGGCAGATGGAGTTTATGGGCGTGGTGTGTAGGGAGGCTGTGAATGACTGTGATATTCCAGAGAACTGCACCGGTAACTCCAGCCAGTGTCCCCCGAACGTACACAAGATGGACGGCTACTCATGTGAAAAGGATCAGGTAAGAGATATCAAGAATAATCAGTGGACCAGTAACTGTGTGTGTCTGTGTTTGACGTGTACCATTTCTCTCTGTCCAGGGTCGTTGCTTCAACGGGAGGTGCAAGACCAAAGACAGACAGTGCAAGTACCTGTGGGGAGAGAGTGAGTAACAAAACAGTTTTTGATTAAATCATTGATGAAAAGTTTTTTATGTCAACCTCAATGACGCTCAAAGGAGGGTTTATTTAGGGTTGGTTGTGACATCATCCTTGTTGATTGTTTGATTTTGCAGAGGCGACCGCTGCTGAGAAGTTCTGTTATGAGAAGCTGAACATCGAGGGGACAGAGAAGGGGAACTGTGGGAAGGACAAAGAAACATGGGTCCAATGCAACAAGCAGTAAGGACACTTGTTTATGTCACAGTTCTGTAATGCTTGAATACAATGACATGCCATCGCACTGTACTTTTATCCTTGAACATAACACGTGTGTCCAGCAAAGTTTAGGTGAGTAATGAAACCTGAACTTAGAGAGAAGGTTCATCACTACTTCCTGTGTGTTTCAGAGACGTGCATTGTGGGTACCTGCTGTGTTCCAACATATCGCCGGCCCCCCGACTAGGAGAGTTGCAGGGGGGACTGACATCCTTCTCTGTCGCACAGCACAGCGCCTCGCTGGACTGCAGGTACGCACACACACACACCACTCAGCCCAGTGTGACACAGTCAGAAGTCATCAGACTCTAATTCAATCAGTTCATTATGGTTCTCCCTGGGTGGCTAAGGAATTACAGTCCATTCATAGATATTTACACACGCTGATTGCTAAAGCGACCTCCATATATTTACGTCACTAAACACAATTGCTATTTAGCGGAACACAGTTCCTATTAAGTAGACCCATTTATCTATAATTGTACTGTAATGATCATGACCACACAACACCACCAACCCACATATGCACCTTAGACCGCTGTGGCACTCGGGCTCCCGAGGCACTGCATCTCAGTGCTTGAGGCGTCACTACAGACCCCCTGGTTCGATTCCAGGCTGTATCACAACCGGCCATGATTGGGAGTCCCATAGGGCAGCCCACAATTGGCCCAGCGTCGTCCGGGTTTGGCCGGTGTAGGCCGTCATTGTAAATAACAATTTGCACTTAACTGACTTGCCTAGTTAAATAAAGGTTAAATAAATACAAATAAAAAGTCAGACTCTCTCTGGGGAGGCAATTTGTCTCAACTGATGATTGATTAATTTAATTAATGTATTTAATAATTCTAGTAATAACTTATTAAATAATAGGATATAAGAAATGCCACAAATTAGAAGAAAAATAGAAAAAGGGGTTTAATTGTTTCTGGTAAAATAATGAAAGATCAGAAGGAAGAAAAAGTATTTGAAATTGTGGACGATGCAGGTGTCCAGAGCAAATACAGAATAATGCCTCTCTAGCTCTCTCTTTGTGAAATCAAAACAATTCAATACTTGATTTCTTGATTTATGTCCCTGTGTAACTTCTATCTGAATGGATCCTCTGTGTCTGTTGTGTTGTGTGTGTTGTGTGTCAGTGGGGGTCATGTGATGATAGACGGGGACAGTGACCTGGGCTATGTGGAGGATGGGACGGCCTGTGGGACAGAGAGGGTCTGCTTCAACCACAAGTGTCTGCCCCTTCAGGAGTTCAACTTCAGCACCTGCCCTGGGACCACCGAGAAGACCATCTGTTCTGGACACGGGGTACAGATACACACACACACACACAAACACACACATGCATGCACACACACTTTCTCTCTCTCTCTCTCCAACCTTAATAACATATGTCTTGGTGTGTGTGTGCCTGCGTGCGTGCATACTTGTGTATGTGTGTGTTGCAGATTTGCAGTAACGAGCTGAAGTGTGTGTGTCACTTGGGTTGGGCTGGAGACGATTGTAACTCCACGTCTTCTCTCAGCTACCTGGTGGTTGGACCGACTGCCTCTGCATCAGGTACAAACAACTCCACACATCTCTATATCTCTCTCTCGCTCTATTTCACTCTTTCCCTCTCCCTCTATTTACACAAAGACTCTGTGAGAGGTTTTGGTTCGACATACACTACCAGTCAAAAGTTTGGACACACCTACTCATTCAAGGGTTTTTCTTTATTTTTACATTGTACAATAATAATGAAGACATCAAAACTATGAAATAACACATATGGATTCATGTAGTAACCAAAAAAGTGTTTAACAAAGTTCTTGAAATGTTCCGTATTGACAGACCTTCATGTCTTAAAGTAATGGTGGACTGTTGTTTCTCTTTGCTTATTTGAGCTGTTCTTGCCATAATATGGACTTGGTCTTTTACCAAATAGGGCTATCTTCTGTATACCCCCCTACCTTGTCACAACACAACTGATTGGCTCCAACGCATTAAGAAGGAAAGAAATTCCATGCATTGACTTTTAACAAGGCACACCTGTTAATTGAAATGCATTCCAGGTGACTACCTCATGAAGCTGGTTGAGAGAATGCCAAGAGTGTACAAAGCTGTCATCAAGGCAAAGGGAGGCTATTTGAAGAATCTCTCATATAAAATACATTTTGATTTGTTTAACACTTTTTTGGTTACTACATGATTCCATATCTGTTATTTCATAGTTTTAATGTCTTCACTATTATTCTACAATGTAGAAAATAGTAGAAAATAAAGAAAAACCCTTGAATGAGTAGGTGTGTCCAAATGTTTGACTGATACTGCACGTATTTAAGACTTTATTTTCATTATAAATCATTGGTTCATTCATTGTTTAGTTTAGTTATTTTGCATATAATCATTATTTTTGGCCTTTACGTTTGATTCATCTTTGTACTTTTATTTAGCCAGCTGCATTAGTATCTGTTCACAAAACCAACCAGGCACATCTTTCTTTTTGTTTGTTGTTTATTTTCACACTCATTCTTTGTCGACAGGCTCATGTCATTGATGGAGTGACGCTGAGGTCAGATCTGAGTTCCTCTTCATTGTGTTTGTCCCGTCTGTGATGTAATTTCCTCTTCCTCCTCCTCTCACCCCTTCCCAGTCTCTCCAGCCTATAGTCAGTCATGTTTTTGAACCCTTCTACGTCCCCCTCAAAAACACACACATCAATGTTTGTGATCTGTTTCCTCCCCCCTCTTTCCTTTCAGACCTCTTCCCTCTGAGTGTGCTGTGTTTTAGTGTACTATTGAAGTGTGGTATACACACCTGATCACTTCAAAGTGTGTTTTTCCTACAGATTCATCTGGAAACAACTATAATACAGTTTGTTTATAAAGTGCTCTCTCTCTCTCTCTCTCTCTCTCTCTCTCTCTCTCTCTCTCTCTCTCTCTTTCTCTCTCTGTCTCTCTCTCTCTCTCCTTCTCTCGTCCTCTCTCCCAACTTCCTCTCTCATCTTCTGTCTCTCTCCTTCTCTTCTCTGTCCTCTCTCACTCTTTCGATCTTCTCTCGTCCCTCTCTCTGTCCCTTCTTCCTCTCCTCTTCCTCTCCCTTCTTCTTCTCCTCTCGGTCTGTTACCTCCTCTGCGCGTCCACTTGCCTCCCTCTCTCCACCTCCTCCTTCTCTCTTCTCTTTCTCGTCTCTTACTCTCTGTCTCTCTCTCTCTCTCGCTCAGGTATCACCAGTACTAACATCATCATCGGGGCCATCGCTGGCTCCATCCTATTCCTGGCTCTCATCCTGGCCGTCACCGCCTGGGGATACAAGTGAGTAGAGCTGGACCACAGCTCTAGACCTGGGAAGCTGACTAGTTAGGATTAGGAACTGCTTTGGGATCATGTCATTGGTCAGTGTGTCTGACGTGACTCTGTCTGTCTGTCCTTCTTCACTAACAGGAGCTACAGACAGCGGTGCTACGTTGAGTCAGAGGTTCACAGAAGATTCTGCCGGTTTGTCATCCTTATTCTTTCAGGTTTACATTTTAGTCGTTTAGCAGCGCAACGTACAATTCCACGTTTTCTATGACATTCATTCGTTTTTGTTCTATTCATTTGTTGGTCAATTTGTTGATGTGTTTGTGACATCACATCTATGTCACGACAGTGTTCAGATGTCTAATGTTTGTTGGCGTTTCTCAGGCAAATGCCTCCGGGTGACTATGTGAAGAAGCCTGGGGATGCAGACTCGTTCTACAGTGACCTGGCCCCTGGGGTCAGCACCAACTCAGGCTGTAGCTCCAAGAAGAGGTCTGGCTGTCTGTCTAACCTGCAGATATACACGCTCTCTTTCACCCCCTCCATCGCCTCCATCTCACAAAACATCTCTCTTTTCGCATTCAGGTGTGACATCATCTCACTGCCATCGCAAACGTCTCCTTGTGTGTGGGTCTCTGTGGTGGGGGGGTTCTTGTTGTGTGTATGTCGAGGTTGTCTTGTTCGCAATATGTGTAGGTGGTTGTGTAGTGTTGGTTGCAATATGCCTCTTTCTGCACATTCTTCTTGTCACGTTGTCATGGTATCACTCCCTGTTGTCATGATATCACTCCCTGTTGTCATGGTATCGCTGTCTGTCATCATGCTATCGTTCACAGTCGTCATGGTGTGGTTGTCTGTTCTTATGGAATGTACCATCAGTCTCTCCTCCACCTACTATGAGCTGTCTGTCTATTCTCTACTGTAGACAAAATAATATAATAATAATATAATAATAATATTATAATAATATCTACCATTTAGGAGACGCTTTTATCCAAAGTAACTTACAGTCATGCGTACATACATTTGACTTATGGGTGGTCCTGGGAATCAAACCCACTAAACAGATCAGGTTGGGGATCAGGTTGTTATTAATGATGATTGTGTAGATAATGGTTATCTCTGTTTCTGGCCCTGCTGCCTGCGTTTGTTGTTTGTGTGTGTGTGTGTGTGTGTGTGTGTGTGAAGGTCTAATGGTCTGTCCCACTCGTGGAGCGAGCGAATCCCTGACGCCAAACACATCTCTGACATTTGTGAGAACGGACGACCCAGGAGCAACTCATGGCAAGGTAAATACACACACACACACACACACAGTTATATTTCCCTGTGCTAACCGTGTGTTACTGTGTCCTTTCTCTGTAGGAAATCTGAGTGGAAATCGCAAGAAGTCGAAAGGGAAGAAGTTCCGTCCTCGTTCCAACTCTACAGAGTAAGTCACCATGTTCCTGGATGGGCTTCCACATGGCTCAGGGATTGTATTTACACCCATCCAGTCACTATAGAAGTCAGCTCCAATAGCAGCAAGCCAAGAGGATCTGTATGGTGAAATAGACTAATACAAATTGTGGGATCCAGCATTTTATAAGAAAGTGTATTAATGAGTTACATTGACTATTACCAGAGTTTGGAACCTTAGAGACGCCATGGTTCTAGAATGTTGTACTGCGCTGTTCTAGAAAGAGAAATGGCATTGTAGAATGCATGTGGGACCTAATGGCAGTCACTATGGCCATGCTTGAGCGGACCAATGCTATTCGTTCTTTATCTAGGGGTTAGTGTTATGGGTGAGGGTAAATGTAAAGGTTAGTGTTAAGGTCAGGGCTATTGGTTATAAAGATTCAATTTGTGAAACATACTTCTGTCCTTTCTAGCAACTTCTGTACTTTCTAGCATGGCCACTCAAAAACAACCCTAACTGCACATGCTCCTCGTAAATGAACACAATTAACGCCTTGTTGACCTCTCAGCCTTGTTGACCTCTCAGCCTGTTGTTGTTGTTAGTTTTTTTTAATTTTCTGGTCTTGGCACCTGAGGTCATTTGCAGAGCAACTGTTCTTGTTTGAAAGCATGGGAGTGAATGAGGAGAATTTAACTGCTTGGACCGATTTGTGACACCCGGCCAAAATGCAAATGACCATGTTACTAAAACACAACATTCATCTAGTCAAGTTCTTCACAGTCCCATCTTGTCTTCCTCTCACTTGCATCTTGGTGGAGTGTGTTCAGAATGTCTTTGCTCTGCTCTCCTAAAGTATCTCCTCTTCCTCCCTCGTCCTCTTCCTCCCTCTTCCTCATCTCCATCCTCCTCCCTCTCGTCCTCTTTTTCCTCCTGTTTCCTCTTCTCCTCTCCTCCTCTCTTCTCGGTGTGTCTATCACTCCCCACTCCTGCAGGTATTTAACACCTCGCTTCCAAACAGAGCATTATGATGTAACTAAGTGGGTAGAAGATGTGAATAAAAACAGTGAAGGACCCTACCTTAGGTATTACTTCAGATCATCTCCTATTCCCCCCTCTTTTAACTCCCCTTTGGTTTGGGTTCAATTTGGCCAGGGGAGGTAGGGAAGGGTTATACCAGAGGTTCCCAAATGGGGCTCAGTTCTCTTTGTCACAGATAAAGAGCAGATTGATTGGTAGTTCTGGTGATGATGTCAGAGCTCTGATTGACAGCTCTCGGCCCTCTTGTGTCTTTGGACTCCCATGAATCATTGCTTTTTGCATAGGATGGTTCCTTCTAGGATTTAGGATGGTTGGATGTATCAATAGCTGCTGAACTTTTATTTACAACAGTTTTACATTTAGTTGAGTATTGAGTAACATAATTGTTTTGCTTTATTTGTAATGACATCAAAATGGAAGTAATTATCAGAAATCATCTCTATTTCTAGTCTATTTCCTTATTTCCCTCCATTGCTCTTGCCATGTTCTCTCTTTATCTCTGCATGTTCAGTGATGTGTTGGCTCTGATGTCATCATTGTGCTACACACATGTCTAAGTCTGAGTCCCCTACTGAGTGTCTCTGTGCTCACCAGCCTGGTCGCTTCATATTTACCCACCATGACACCATCTCCACTACATCTCTACTGGTCCTGGACCAGTCCAGATACACCCCAACACAGGCACAGGTCTAGTCAAACTAACTGTACTCAGTGGGTGACTGACTGACCTGCCCACTCCCACTCCCAGCCACAGCACAGCTGGCCCTGTTGCATTGCCTGATGATGTTGCAGCGGTTGATGATGTCATAGGCAGGTTGATGAGAGGTAGAGGTGACTGTTCCCAGACCAGGGCTGTTCAGACTGGCCTACTCTGGCACAGGCAGATGCTTCCCCTAACCACAGCTCTAGGGTCAGATTACTGTACCCCCCAATCTGAACGTTAACCGTTAGGGTCATGAAAAAATGTATTGCCTCAGTGTTTAGGGGCAACTTCTGCCTATTCCGGACAGATCAGTAAGAGTGATGATGTCACCGTCTATAGTGACGTAATTTCCTGTCTCTTCCAGGACCCTGTCCCCGGCGAAGTCGCCCACCTCCTCCACGGGATCCATTGCGTCCAGCCGGAGGTACCCTTACCCCATGCCCCCCCTCCCCGATGACCAGAGGAAGGCCAACAGGCAGAGTGCCAGGGTAAACTACTATATCAACACAGTATATATCACATACTGTACAACATCTCAGCCGTAACATATACTGCACATAACATCTCAGACGTAACATATACTGCACATCATCAAATACTGGGGAAAAAAAGTATTTATCAGACCATTGTCATTCTCCCCTTAAAAGATAAGAGCCTGAATTTTCAATCAAGGTACACGTCAACTATGACAACAAATAGGACAAAAATCAGAAAATCATGTAGATTTTATGAATTTTTGCAAATTATGTGGAAATAGTATTTGTCAATAACAAAAGTATACTTTGTTATTACCTTGTGCAATGACAGGTAAATGTTTTTGAAGTCTTCATTTCTGTTGCGGTATTTGGGCCGTCCTCATACTCCTCTATGACTGTCGCTGGGCAACATGGACTTTCAACTCCCTCCAAAGATTTTCTATGGGGTTGAGATCTGGAGACTGGCGAGACTGGCTAGGCCACTCCAGGACCTTGAAATGCTTCTTACGAAGCCACTCCTTCGTTGCCCGGGCGGTGTGTTTGGGATCATTGTCATGCTGAAAGACCCAGCCACGTTTCATCTTCACTGCCCTTGCTGATGGAAGGAGGTTTTCACTCAAAATCTCACGATACATGGCCCCATTCATTCTTTCCTTTACACGGATCAGTCGTCCTGGTCCCTTTGCAGAAAAACAGCCCCAAAGCATGATGTTTCCACCCCCATGCTTCACAGTAGGTATGGTGTTCTTTGGATGCAACTCAGCATTCTTTGTCCTCCAAACACGACGAGTTGAGTTTTTACCAAAAAGTTCTATTTTGGTTTCATCTGACCATATGACATTCTCCCAATCCTCTTCTGGATAATCCAAATGCACTCTAGCAAACTTCAGACGGGCCTGGACATGTACTGGCTTAAGCAGGGGTACACGTCTCGCACTGCAGGATTTGAGTCCCTGGCGGCGTAGTGTGTTACTGATGGTAGGCTTTGTTACTTTGGTCCCAGCTCTCTGCAGGTCATTCACTAGGTCCCCCCGTGTGGTTCTGGGATTTTTGCTCACCGTTCTTGTGATCATTTTGACCCCACGGGGTGAGATCTTGCGTGGAGCCCCAGATCGAGGGAGATTATCAGTGGTCTTGTATGTCTTCCATTTCCTAATAATTGCTCCCACAGTTGATTTCTTCAAACCAAGCTGCTTACCTATTGCAGATTCAGTCTTCCCAGCCTGGTGCAGGTCTACAATTTTGTTTCTGGTGTCCTTTGACAGCCCTTTGGTCTTGGCCATAGTGGAGTTTGGAGTGTGACTGTTTGAGGTTGTGGACAGGTGTCTTTTATACTGATAACAAGTTCAAACAGGTGCCATTAATACAGGTAACGAGTGGAGGACAGAGGAGCCTCTTAAAGAAGAAGTTACAGGTCTTTGAGAGCAGAATCGCTTGTTGAGGGACCAATCTTATTTTCCCCAGTATTGCAAAAATTATTAAAATCATTGATTCTGGATTTTTTTCTCATGCCGTCATAGTTGACGTTACCTATGATGAAAATTACAGGCCATCTTTTTAGCGGGAAAGGCCATTGGTGCTGTAAATTTTTTCACCCATGTAACGCACATAACATCTCAGACGTTACCTATACTGCACAAAACATCCCAGAAAGTAGGTAAATACAATAGTAGTCCATGACGTGTGTACTATAAATACCCCTATTGCATTGTGGGGTTAACTGCAGTTAAGGTACTGAAGCCATTATCTAATTATAGTCTTCATCTCTCTCATCTCTTCATCTCCTTTCTCTTCCTGCAGCTGTGGGAGACTTCAATATAACACTCCTGTTATCTACTCAGCAAAACTACTTAAGAACTACATTTTCGTCCACTTTTCTACAAATGAAAAAAAAAAACAAGGCAAAAACAAAATTGAAACAAAATGACAAAAAAAGCACCTTGTATGAAGAGAAGAGGAGGAAGATGAAGAGGAGGAGTGTATGCGAGGTCCTCCAGACCTGACCTGCTCAGTAGGGGACGCTACAGGGGCCAGCTGTCATTCCTACACTGACAAGCGTAGACAGAACGAGGCAAGACGAGATTTCTCTTTCAGATCAGCTGGAGATCCATCAGAGATCAGCTCATCACTCGTTGGTGGGGAAAAAGCAAAACTGTTGTCATGGTAATGGTGCAGACAGAGAGGAGAGGCCTCGTTGGGGATGTCTCCCCCACTCCCAACATCCCCCCAGCTCCCACCACACTCTCCTAGCTCCTCCCTCAAACTGTCCCACCTTACCTTACTCACCTCTCCTCTCCATGTCCCTGATAACAATCCTCGCCCCCCCAACCCCCCTCTAGCCCTGCCCCCATGTAAACGCTCTCCTCTGATTGGTGCTCCTCTTTGTTGAGGGGCGCGGACAGCTATCATATCGCCAGATTTCTTTACCATTTTGAAGCACGCTGTTGAATTACTGTAGAAAACGCCAACACTTTATGCATGAGAACCCCCTGTTAATCAACTCTTCCTAGTGTCATAAAGAAGAAGAAGTCTGGGACGGACAGCATGCGGGGGATGGTGATGTCATACGTACTGTAGGCCTTTAAGCTTTCTTTACATTATAGGCTTCTTTTATCTCGATGATCAGCGACTCATTCAGTACTGTACCACACATTATACTAGCCAACAGCCCCTGACATGGACCCTAGACCCTAGACCCTTCACCCTTGATCCTTGACCCTAGACCCTTGACCCTAGAACCTAGACACTAGACCCTAGGTCCTAGACGCTAGCCCCTAGCCCCTAGCCCCTAGACACTAGCCCCTAGACCCTAGCCACTCCCTGTTCTTTCTTTCTCCCTGTCAGGTTTTCCTGAAGGATTTGGTTATTGTCGTAAATATGTACAGCTTAAAGACAGAGTAATGTGTGTTTTTCTTTTTTACTGACTGAGAGGTGAAAGATTAAGGGATACTCCCTCTCTCCTCCTCCTGCCGTGGTTTGTGTTATAGACAGACGTGGTCTCTGTAGGTCTTTGTAGAGACCCCGCACTCGTTTTTTTCTGTCTGTTTCTCTCTTTTCATTTCTCGCTGAACTCTCTCTCTTCTCTCCCATGTGGCTGTGTGAACACACCAGCTTTCTTTTTCTTCCACAGCAGAATGTACAAACAGTGTTCTATCTTTCCGCTCTGTGTCAATGTCATCCCTTTCTCTGAGTAATGCACACTCAGTCACAGCCCGTCATATTTAAGACAGTAAACTTAAGAATGTCATTGATTTATAACATTAGCTGAGAATTTGATCAGTTTGGATATTGATAATGATGAATATGATTTGAAGTAAGATAGTCCCATGAGCCCTTCCTTGCTAAAGAGGGGAGAGAACAAGTGTTTTTGTGTAGTTTTAGATGTGATATACATGACTTTTCAAAGTGTTCATTTGGTCATGGTGGTTTAGAGAAGTTGGAGAAATGTCCTGTGACCTTAAGCAGTGCATTCTCATTCCTAGCTATGGTCTGTGTGTACAGCAGGGGCGGACTGGCCATCTGGCATTTCAGACAAATGCCAGATGAGCTGGTCCATTTTTAGCATAGTGGGCCTGTCTTACTTTGATTTTTTTGGACAAAATGATCATTATCTGGCCAATAATGGGGTCCTCAATTAATAAAATGGGCCGTGTGGGGGCCTCGAGGAAAGAAATGGGCCAGTGTGTTTAAAATGCTAGGGCCGATTTCTGGTCCCAGTCCGCCCCGGTGTACAGTATGAGACCAGACATAACAAATAGATACAACTGGAACCGACAACGCCACTGAGATCCAATTGGATGATGGTTTGTGTCAGACGAACTTGAGAAACTGGGAATTGTTGGATAAAATGATTCAAATGTGCATTTTTACTTTTGTTTTGTTTTCTACTGCAAGTTTGCCCTGCTGTCTGTTAATGATGACACGTCCTGTACAGTGCTTGCTGTTTGAGATTTATAAGACCAACAGAATGACAGTGGATCTACTAGCTAGCACACTATTGCTGTTCTCTAGTAATCTGTCTGTGAAGCTGTAATACGAAATAAGCATGTCATTGAAATACTTTTTCCTTGATTGCCAATTGCTGTTATCTTCTTGGATTTTCATACCACAAACCCCATTCCAGTAGTGAACAGGTTTTCAACATAATCAACCAGGTCTCAAACATTTTTATGAATGTCCCGAGGAATCTAGTGGTTTAAATGTGGCTTAAGATTCAGGTTCAGGTTCTTACCTACTCAGAGTAGGATAAAGTGTCCCAAGTCACTGATCCAAGGTCAGTTTTGTATCTTACCCCCCTGATGGTAAATGTCGTGAATCGGGGAGTGGTAAGCTGATCTTAGATCTGTGACTAAAGGGAAACTTCTCTGTACAGAATTCACAACCCCCATCCTGTAGTTACTGTACTGTCCATATCAGTTAGGTCTGCTGTATGTTGTTAACTGCGTATGCGTAAGTTTAAAATGTGGGCACTGTTCGTTTTGATTTTCTACTGTATGCACTATGACTGTATAGATATTAAGATCACCACAATATCACATTAATATTGCTACTGTATGACAAGTATCAAGTCTTTTTTTTAACTCTTAAGTACCTTTATAATATTCACTATTTCTCAGTGTTGTGTACAGCCATTATTCAGACAGACCAACTGCGTTATTGTTCTTCTGTGCATTGATGAGTGGAATGGAGACATTATGTGGTCATTTTAGTTTTTTAAAGCACACACTCGTCTCAGACCGCTCTGGCATGTGCAGATCTGTACATGTCTTCTATGGTATGAGGATTGGACGCAGCTATGGCAACATGAGGTGCATTATGCTATAGAGATCTGTGCAGGTGAGCTCATGTTTGCCAGAGCTCTCATCCTCACTCTTGTCTTATTTAAACTACGATATGATTGGCTGGTGCTTAGTAACTTGAACTTTGACCCAGAGATTCCCTAGGCCGTGGTAATATGAAAATAAAGGATCATACTTCTCAATCAATATTTTAAACATCATACTGTGCTAATTCTGACAAACTATGATCATTCACCTGCAGGTCATAGGATTGTGGTATATTATATGTTTGGATGGTGGCAGGTGGAACCTGTCCAGGTAACAGAGATGTAACTTGCCTGCTGTGTGTTGTGTTGCTATCTGTATTAGTGGCTGGACTGATGTAACCCAACCGGACCGCACAGAGAAACGTCCTAATGCACACATAGCATGGACAGACAGGACAGAATCTTGAATGTATCAATAAAACCAAGCACCAACCACCCAGCCGTAGGTTATATCAGGCCTCTGCATGCACCATGCAGTCTATTGAGAAGTAGGTTATATCAGGCCTCTGAATGCACCATGCAGTCTATTGAGAAGTAGGTTATATCAGGCCTCTGAATGCACCATGCAGTCTATTGAGAAGTAGGTTATATCAGGCCTCTGCATGCACCATGCAGTCTATTGAGAAGTAGGTTATATCAGGCCTCTGAATGCACCATGCAGTCTATTGAGAAGTAGGTTATATCAGGCCTCTGAATGCACCATGCAGTCTATTGAGAAGTAGGTTATATCAGGCCTCTGCATGCACCATGCAGTCTATTGAGAAGTAGGTTATATCAGGCCTCTGAATGCACCATGCAGTCTATTGAGGCACTGTGCCACTAGAGATCCTGGTTCGAATCCAGGCTCTGTCGTAGCCGGCCGAGACCGGGAGACCCATGGGGCGGCGCACAATTGGCCCAGTGTCGTCCAGGGTAGGGGAGGGAATGGCCGGCAGGGGTGTAGCTCAGTTGGTAGAGCATGGCGTTTGCAACGTCAGGGTTGTGGGTTCGATTCCCACGGGGGGCCAGTATGAAAAATAAAAAAATAATGTATGCACTCACTAACTGTAAGTCGCTCTGGATAAGAGCGTCTGCTAAATGACTAAAATGTAAATGTAGGTTATATCAGGCCTCTGAATGCACCATGCAGTCCCATCCTGCTGCAGTAGGCTCCTACTGCAACCTTAACCCTCATATGTACTGCTACAAAATCTATATACATTGGGGTCCCAAATGATTGACACCCTTGATAAAGATGAGCAATAATGACTGTATAAAACAAATAATTCAAATACTGACGTATATTGTATGCAACAAAAAAAAAAGGGGAAATTATATTATTTGATACTAATACTCAGAGAAAGAGATTTAGTTGAACAGGTACTACTTTCTTTTCTCAAAAAGGTAGGGGTCAAAATGATTGAAACGCCAAAGGATTCTTATAAAGTAGTCAAAAGTTTCATATTTGGTCCCATATTCCAAGCACACAATGACGTCATCAAGCGTGTGACTCTACGAACTGGTTGGATGCATTTGCAGTTTGTTTTGGTTGTTTCTCGTATTATTTTCTGCCCGATAGAAATGTTAAATAATGTATTGTGTCATTTTGGAGTCACTTTCAGGATTATCCGTAATTAATGTAGAAGTGTTTAGAAACATATTTTATTCTTATTTACAATAAAAGTGACTCCAAAATGACAATAAATTACTTATCATGAATTTCTATTTTGCACAAAATAATTTGAGAAACAACTGAAACTAACTGCAAATGCCTCCAACCAGTTGGTAGAGTCACACGCTTGATGACGTCATTGCCTGCTAGGAATATGGGACCAAATAATACACTTTTGACTTTATTTATAAGAATCTTTAGGGGAGTCAATTTTGACACATACCTTTCTGAGAAAAATAAGTATTACTTGTTAAACAAAATCTTTAATTGAGCAAGTGTATTAGTATAAAACAATCATTAACCCCCTTTTTTAAATACAATATAGCTCAGTATTTGAATGATTTATTTTATACAGTCGTTATTGACACCCTCCATAAAGATTAGCAATCATTTGGGACTGCACTGTATAATTACTGCTCTTTCCTTTCACCGTATGTTGTACATAGACTGACAATGCAAAAATCAATGCCCATCTTTTCTTTTCTTATATCATTCAGTATTGTAATATATTTAATATAAAATAAAACTTTCATCGATATTTTCTGTGTATGTATGTTTATTTTCCCTTAAGGTGGCAGCATTAATTAACATGTTTATTACTACATGATGGAAAAGGAACATATTACATCAAACAGATAGTCAGAGACAACATCCAGCAGAAAAACACACTGAAAAGCACTTCCCCTCCTCTTTCTCGACCTCTAACTCTGTCCATAGTTTGGTCATAAGGGAAGGGCTGGAGAACAACACCCTGCCTGGGTTATGACTGTGGGTGACATCATCGCCAGTGTTTTCCATAGATAATCTCAAGCAGGGTGCAGAGACAGGATGAATGTCGAGGAGTCATCCTACCTAGGATATGATAGGTAGGAACATCACCCTGACTTCCACAATATTGAAAACGTTCCAGGCTGAGTGAACGTGTATCAAGTTCAAACCCTTTTTCAAAACTGCAGAACGTACTAACCCTGAATGTTCCACAGTTCAGTTCAAACTGAGGGGGTGGGGCCCCATGTGAGTGAGTTCTTGGCTGGGACCGCACCTCTCAGCGCCTGTAGCCTATCACGGTGCAGGGACTCCGTTGCCATAGAGGCATCCTCGTCTAGTGATTGGCGGATAAAGGTCTTGAGGTGTGCGATGCCAAAACCGGTGGCAGCTGAGATAGGAACCACGTGTCTGAAGACCATGTTGTTCTTAGGAACCATATCTTCGGGTAACAGGTGGGAGAACTCTGAAAGGGAGGAGCACACCAGGGGAGCATTATGAGTAGTCTAATGTCATAGATTGTACACCTTAATTATCTTAGATTATAAACTATGTACACTACCAGTCAAAAGTTTGGACACACCTACTCATTCAAGGGTTTTTCTTTATTTTTACATTGTAGAATAATAGTGAAGACATCAAAACTATGAAATAACACATATGGAATCATGTAGTAACCAAAAAAAGTGTTAAACAAATCAAAATATATTTTATATTTGAGATTCTTCAAATAGCCACCCTTTGCCTTGATGACAGCTTTGCACACTCTTGGCATTCTCTCAACCAGCTTCATGAGATAGTCACCTGGAATGCATTTCAATTAACAGATGTGCCTTCTTAAAAGTTAATTTGTGGAATTTATTTCCTTCTTAACGCGTTTGAGCCAATCAGTTGTATTGTGACAAGGTAGGGCGGGTATACAGAAGATAGCCCTATTTGGTAAAAGACCAAGTAAGCTCAAATAAGCAAAGAGAAACAACAGTCCATCATTACTTTAAGACATGAAGGTCAGTCAATAAGGAACATTTCAATAACTTTGAAAGTTTCTTAAAGTGCAGTTGCAAAAACCATCAAGCGCTATGATGAAACTGGCTCTCCTGAGGACCGCCACATGAATGGAAGACCCAGAGTTACCTCTGCTGCAGAGGATAAGTTCATTAGAGTTATCAGCCTCAGAAATTGCAGCCCAAATAAATGCTTCACAGAGTTCAAGTAACAGACACATCTCAACATCAACTGTTCAGAGGAGACTGTGAATCAGGCCATGGTTGAATTTCTGCAAATAAACCACTACTAAAGGACACCAATAAGAAGAAGAGACTTGCTTGGGCCAAGAAACACGAGCAATGGACATTAGACCGGTGGAAATTTGTCCTTTGGTCTGGAATCCAAATTGGAGATTTTTGGTTCCAATGCAGTGTGGGTGAACGGATGATCTCTACATGTGTATTTCCCACTTGCAAGCATGGAGGAGGAGGTGTGGAGGTGTGGAGGTGCTTTGCTGGTGACACTGTCTGTGATTTATTTAGAATTTAAGGCACACTTAACCAGCATGGCTACCACAGCATTCTGCAGTGATACGCCATCCCATCTGGTTTGGGCTTAGTGGGACTATCATTTGTTTTTCAACAGGACAATGAGCCAACACACCTCCAGGCTGTGTAAGGGCTATTTTACCAAGAAGGAGAGTGATGGAGTGCTGCATCAGATGACCTGGCCTCCACAATCCCCCGACCTCAACCCAATTGAGATGGTTTGGGATGAGTCGGACTGCAGAGTGAAGGAAAAGCAGCCAACAAGTGCTCAGCATATGTGGGAACTCCTTCAATAATGTTGGAAAAGCATTCCAGGTGAAGCTGGTTGAGAGAATGCCAAGCGTGTGCAAAGCTGTCATCAAGGCAAAGGGTGGCTATATATTTTTGATTTGTTTAACACTTTTTTGGTTACTACATGATTCCATATGTGTTATTTCATAGTTTTGATGTCTTCACTATTATTCTACAATGTAGAAAATAGTAAAAAAATAAATTAAATAAAAAAACCTGGAATGAGTAGGTGTGTCCAAACCTTTGACTGGTACTGTATATCATTAGATTACCGTGTGGGTTTAGGAGTTGCTCCTGCAGCTCTGTGAGTTTGTCCTCTGCATCAGGCAGGTCCATCTTATTGACCACCAACACAGCAGGCTTACACGGGAGATCCTCCTTATACAGCTCCAACTCCTATAGGAGGGGTCGAGAGAGGAGGGGACGGGGGGGCAGAGAGTGGGATAAGGAGAGAGCGAGAGAGAGAGGGATGATGAGAGAGGGAGAGAGAACATATTGTGATACTGGTGCTGGGAGGGAGGGAGAGTGGGTGGTTTCTGTGTAGATGTGTCCTGCTAGCCTCACTTTAGTTAAAAGTTGAACGGCCTCAAAAGCGGACCTAAAGGGTGTTTTGCTTGCCAGCTGGAAACCACAAATGTCCACCTATGACCAGAGAGAGAAGAGAGACTTCATCAGTATTACAGTTTCAATACAATTAGAGGCATTCTCACCACAAATCTCCTTGAAACTTTTGACCATAAATTGTGTTTATGTTTAGGTCGAACCACAAAGATCAGCTGTCTGGTCCTCTCCACGTGTTTGAGGAACTGGTGGCCCATGCCTCTATTCATGTGGGCCCCCTCTATCAGCCCTGGGAGGTCTGCCACTGAGATCTACACCAATCCGAGGAGAGAACACAGAGAATGGACCAATCAGAGGACAGAACACAGAATGGATCAATCAGAGGAGGTAACTCCGAGAATGAACCAATCAGAGGAGAGAGAACACTGAGTATGGACAAACCAGAAGAAAGACAATCTTGAGAATGGACCAATCAGGTGAAGGAAAACATTGAGTAACACAAAAGGGAGGAAGTGACCTCCTCATCTGCTTCTCTTACCTGTTTATGGTCTTCATACATGACTTTGCCAATCTCTGGTCTCAGGGTGGTGACTGCAGAATGACAACACAAACATTTACATTTCATAAATAACTCACAAACATCATGTTGTCATCCTCCATTCAAACATTTTACAAAACGGGGTAATATATGGAGCATACACTTAAACGGGATGTGTGTGTAAATGTGTACTCAATACTCACAGGCATAGCTGGCAATCTGGGGTTTGGCGTGTGACAGGGCGGTCAGTAGAGAGGACTTTCCTGCATTGGGGAACCTGGTAGTGATGGAGGGGGAAATCATTAAGTCTATGTGTTCCTGTATGATTGTGTATGTGTGTGTGTCCCCTGTCTCACCCCACCAGGCCGAGGTCAGCGATGAGTTTGAGGTCCAGTCGTATCTGTCTGGTCTGGCCCTTACTGGGCAGGAACTCTGAGTGGTAGGAGCCTCCTTGACCTCCTCTGGCCACCAGCACACGATCTCCCTCAGTGTTGAGCTCACCTATGGAGGGGATTGATGAACTATGGTCAGTTTAATTTACACCCAACACTCTCATCCTGAGTGCAGACATCAACCTCATCTTCAACCAGAACCCTGCGCCTTGTGTCAGTGAAGGAGGTGTATCGTGTGTAAAGACTTACCGAGGACTTTTCCATCATCATTGGTGACAGTAATGCCAGGAGGAGCAAAGACTTCTTGGTCCTCTCCTTTCTGCCCCCTCAGAGCACGGACACTACACACACACACACACACACACACACACACACACACACACACACACACACACACACACACACACACACACACACACACACACACACACACACACACACACACGTTGAGATTTGGATTAGATTGCTGGTAGTTCATGTCATGATGCTTCCAAAAAGGATATTGTAAATAATATAGTTGTAAAATGTTTTCATGCGTTATCCAATGTGTGCCATCTACATATGTAAGTGATCGACCGACCTGCTGTTGGTTCCTACTCCAGCGATGAAGCGTTTCTGGGGGTACTTATCCTTGACCCTTTTCAGAGTAATCTCCTTCTGAGCCACCACCCACACGTCTCCCCCTTTCCCCCCCTGACCCCCCAGACGGGGCAGCCCCATCCCCCCACTGCCCCCTCGCACATACAAACGCAGGTTGTCCACGAAGTTACCATACTGGAGGAAAGAGAGAGTAATTATGACATCATTGTACACTTTGCGTCAAGACAACTGAAGTATCTACAGCAATCAATATCTTGTACCGTCTTCTACAATGACGTGGACAGTAGGCTACACAGCGAAACTATTTCCATAGCTAGCAAGTTCATTGTAGAAACGACCATGTAAAACTGACAGGACAGCACAACCAACTAGCTAGCTCTGTCTACGAAACAGACTGAAGGGCAACTCTGAGACCACCTACGAAACAGACTGAAGGGCAACTCTGAGACCACCTACGACTAGCAAACTAAGCTAGCTAGCATCGCTACCTGGGTAGTAGAGCGACAGACAGGAGGGGTTAATTCTAAATATCTTTGGTATAGCTAGCTTGTTAGCGAACTATAATGCAACTGTATTTGTAGCAGTGGGTTACTGACCTTCCGGTAACAAATCCTACTGATCCAAACCATTTTGAGTGAATATTTAGAAGTTACAGTTGACCATTTGTGGCATTTTTGCCTGTGTGAAGACGTCAGATTAGCCGTTCACATGTGTTGTTTGCATAGGTTGTTTGGTGAAACAGGAAACAGCAAACTGGGCGGTGATTCGATGATGTCAGCGTCACTCAAGGTAGCTAGTCCCGCCTCCCTCTCCTCCCCAGCTAAACTATGCACCCAAAATATTAGGCTATGTTGTGGGAATTTACCAGTAGGCCTAGTCTACAAAGAAATCACAGTGTTTTGAACAATCATTAGGTTACATCACTTTTAAGATAAATAACCTTTCAAAAACACCACTAGTATAGGCTAAGTCATTTTAGGTTAGGCCGTATTTGTTTATAATGTTATAGCATAGCCTACCCCGAATTCATTAATTAATCCATTCAGTCAGTCAGTCAGTCAGTCAGACATCATGTTTGTTCATAGGCTATCCTTGGTAATCTGTCAACTCGTGCGCTCCTGCATGTAGGCTATGACAGGGTTTGAGGTGCGCGCGATGTTTGGCTATAAAGAGCTCCACCATGGAGTGGCCATGTGAGTCAGTCAATATGTCCACACAGTGAACAACACTGGATACGCACTCACGTTGGGTGGGGGTTTTAAAAACTGAAACAGCTTATACGAACATAAAAAGTAAGTAGCCTATATTTTGTTTATAGCCTATAGAGGTTTTGGAAGTTTTTCTTTGAGAGGGAGACAATTACGCACACCTCTGATTTCACTACTCACATGTTCTGTTTCTAAATGTGTGTATGATGGCCATCTGATCTGTCACATTAGGCAGGTAGCCTATATTTTACTTTAGACTTTTTTTTTTTATCTTAGGCTATTTGTCTCTGCATTCCCATCTCTTGGCCACTCAGGGCTCTCTCTCCTATCGCACCAGTTGGATAATGATCTCTCTCCGTGGCCCGGAGTCGTCTCCAGTGCCTGTGTATGCTCCCGACTCTCTCCACCGCCTCCTCCAACACCATGCCCAACCTTTTGATCGGGACCGACGGGGCCGGGGGAGTGGGGCTCGGTGTGGGTCTCGGCGGCTTCAGGGCTCCCGGTAACCTGGACGAGATCGACTCTGGCTGCTGGGACTCGTCTTCCCTCGCCGTGATCCAGACACGGCGGCTGCATCTGGCGGACAGCCGGGGCGCGCTGTGGGACTTCATGACAAACCTGCGCGCTTCGCAGCAGCAGAAGTACAACGAGCTGTTCCTAGAGCTCGCGCAGCACTTCTGGGCGGTGTACGTTTACTGCATGCTGTCCCGCGCGCACGGCTCTTGGGAAGCGCGGCTTCACACGACAACGCTGTCCGAGCTGCGTGTCATGGTGTCTCCCCAAATTACGCACAGAATTACGCATAGAGCGAGTGTTGTCTTTAGGGCACAAGACTATGCGTAGGCCTACTGCAAGTGTGACAAGTGTTTCAGATTAACCATTCTAATCTACCACCATCCGGATCTAGTGTTTTATTATTTAGAGTTCTGCCACAGGTGGCTGAAAAAGATTGGATGTGTATGAACAGTTCTTAGCACCATGAGTAGCCTATACCGAGGACACAGCCTTTGATACGGCTCTTTGAAGAGATATTTAAGCAGTTTGTCAGACATATTCAAACCTGAAAAGTTGTTTGAAGTCACGTTTATAGCCTAAATTCATATCCCATCTGTTGTGTGGACCACCCGTGATATGCATTATGAGAGTTCAGCAGATTTATCCAAAAACAGATGTGGATGTTGCCTTATTCATTTCAGGATTTAGTTCTGCAACTTTCTATTGCTGATTTTGTGGTGAACTATTCTTTCAAGGCTGGAAAAAATGAAGATCCTACAGTTAGATAACTGTCTGCCTCATTATCGCCAAATACATGACAGTACTGAGGTAACAGTGACTCAAATTATTTAGAATGGTGAATAAACTCAGTGTTGCTTTTCAGCAGATGCATTGTTAATCATATTGAAAAATAACAATAAAGAAAGTCGCACACTATATATTTCTCACAGTTATTTATTGGGAACCCAACGTTTGGCAGTCCATTGGAATTTTTATTTACGTTTACATAGGCCTATGTCAAAAATAACATTGAGCCCTATAGGAGGCTTTATACCAATAGATTATTCCCACCACTAAACTACAGCTTTCTTGGCGTTCCCCTCACATAGGGAAGAGCAGGAAGCCACTGAAGGTGCTGTGGTTAGAATCATCGTCATACACTGCCCAGCCTTTGGGAAGGCGCATATGGACGGTATCACCCTTTTGCAGATGCAGAGTCACTCCATTGCACACATACTCATTCCCAGCATTGTAATACTGACCATTATGCAATATTCTCTGGCCATTCCTGTACATGTTTAGACCCCCAAGCAATTCGTTTTCATAAGAAACCATAGAGAATCTGAAGTAATAGACTCCCCTCACTGGTGCTGTGAAGATACCTGCATCAGAGGGAAGGAGGGAGAGATCAGCAACACTGTCAGTTTCTCATGGGCCTTGTACGAGAGCGTCAACAACATAATGTATCATTGTTAAATTGTGACTGACTGATCTACAAATAAAATAGCCTAGTTATTTATGATGCAAGTTGATTTGTCAACTGTCAGTCGGCAGCCGCCTGCACTGTCGACTGCAATGTCGAACAAGCCCATGGACATTGGAGCAGCATGTTTAGTGATCTTGGACTCCGCCGCTGGCCCACTTGGACATGTGTGTTCATGTGTATTGATGTGTAAGCAGTACCTGTATTTTGGTTGTAGGTGTTGCCGATGTTTGTGAAAACTTTGGTGTAGATCAGTTGAGTCTCAGTATTGAAAGGTCCTACTTTTCCTGAGTTAGTCAAACCAGCAGAGAAGGCCACCTTTGGTCTGTCTGTTAACACAGGGGAGTACACAGGATACACATACATAATGATAATGGAAAAACAAGTAAAAAGTAACAACACAAGAAGAAAGGCAACAATTCAAACCTTGAAAATAAATGACCAAAAAAGTGGTGGCTGACGCATTTCAGCACTAAAGTTTTTATCAGAGCAAACTTGAGATAAAGTTGTTTGTCTGTTTACCTGTGTTCTCTCTCTTCAGCTCCTCCACCTGGCTCCGCAAGGCTGACAGTTCCTCTACCTGGGCTGATATAACGATAACAAATCAAACAGTTAGCTTGACTTATTTGTAATTATTTGTAAGGCATATATTAATATTACCTGCATTGTCTGTCTTCAGCACCTCTACCTGGCTCTCACTGGCTGTCACTCTGGCCCCCATGGCTGACAGTTCTGCTACTTGTGCTGGAGTTGTAGAATTAAGAAAAAAAATACTTTCAAGCATCTTATCTTCAAGCTATTGTTGATTGCTACTAAATTGTATCAATAGTAATAATTCCCTACTGATTGCTTATGACCATATCATATCAGCATACCTGCATTCTCTCTCTCCAGCTCCTCTCCCAGCCTCTCACTGACACTCAGTCTGGTCTCCAGGGCTGAAATAACATGACAATGTATTCAGAAATTATAATCATTTAATTCAGGCAATCAAACAAGTCTCCCAGAGTAGCTTTGCTGCAACACTAGAGTGAATGGGCCACATTTTGACGTTTATTGGCATGAATCTTGCCCTGGAAGCAGAACTGAGCAATTTCTGCTAGATGGGTCATCTGCAAAGTCAAATGTGGCTATATTGTAAAAATCCATGAAAACAAAAATGTGCTTTTGGTATTCATTTCAGGTTAGGCATTAGGGTTAGCAGTGTGGTTAATGTTAGAGTTAAGGTTAGGCTTAAAATCAGATTTCATGACTTTGTGGCTGTGCCAGCTAGTGACCACTCTGTAGAGCTGCCTCCAGAACAAAATTCATGACAAAAAACACTAACCTGCCAATGGACCTACATGTAAAGTCATATGATTTATTTCATACAATAAAATACACAGGATACACATACATAATGATAATGGAAAAACAAGTAAAAAGTAACAACACAAGAAGAAAGGCAACAATTCAAACCTTGAAAATAAATGACCAAAAAAGTGGTGGCTGACGCATTTCAGCACTAAAGTTTTTATCAGAGCAAACTTGAGATAAAGTTGTTTGTCTGTTTACCTGTGTTCTCTCTCTTCAGTTCCTCCACCTGGCTCTCACTAGCTGTCAATCTGTTTCCCATGTACCTCAGCTCCACTCTCTGCTCCACCAGGATGGTTCCCATACTGTGCACTTTGTCTCTCAGTGCTTTCAGCTCAGCCCAGATGTGAGAACCACCATTATCACTGCTCTCCCCCAGTTCGCTGTGACTCTGTTGAGTGGTGCCATTCTCTCTAACCCTTCTACTCTCTCCCTGAGCCCATGTCCCAGACAGACAGAACAGCAACACCAGCAGAGCTAGTCTCTTCAGAACTAATGTAGTCTACTGGGCTCAGTCCCCTTCTTTATATACACTGGTCTTGGTAACCTGATGCATGAGAAATCAACACATGTTGAAACTCAGTGGAACATGTTAAAATATCACCAAGGACAAGTGAAGTCATGGGTAAACAGTACACAAATACAGGTGCACACAAGTGTACAATACAATAGCCTGTCAAAATGTGACTCAATTATGCCCTCTTGTGGTTAAATATTACATCTCTCTTCAACTCCGCAAGATTTATCTGGGAAAATAAAATGTTTAAACTCAACAACAAATGTTACAAACGACACAAAATAATTTCAAAAAATTATACTGAACAAGAATATAAATGCAGGTACACCCTGTGCTGGGGACAATAAAAGGCCACTCTAAAATGTGCAGTTTTGTCACACAACACAATGCCACAGATTGTCAAGTTTTGAGGGAGTGTGCAATTGGCATGCTGACTGCAGAAATGTCCACCAGAGCTGTTGCCAGAGAATTGAATGTTAATTTCTCTACCATAAGCCGCCTCCAATGTCATTTTAGAGAACTTGGCAGTATGTCCAACCGGCCTCACAACTGCAGACTATGTGTAACCACACCAGCCCAGGACCCCCACATCCGGCTTCTTCACCTGCGGGATCGTCTGAGACCAATCACCTGGACAGCTGATGAAACAGCTCCTAAGTGGGTGGGCCTATGAAACAGCTCCCAAGTGGGTGGGCCTATGCCCTCCCATGACTGTGCCCCTGCCCAGTCATGTGAAAGCAGTGGACAAATCAGATATCAGCAACCCCGGGACGACCCCGGTGCAGCCAGGGATGAACATGAACATGTCCTTTCTAGCTCAGCTGGTAGAGCATGGCGCTTGTAACGCCAAGGTAGTGGGTTCGATCCCCGGGACCACCCATACACAAAAAATTTATGCACGCATGACTGTAAGTCGCTTTGGATAAAAGCGTCTGCTAAATGGCATATTATTATTATTATTATAAATCCAAAGATTAGGGCCTAATGAATTTATTTCAATTGACATATTTTCTTATATGACCTGTAACTTAGTAAAATCGTTGAAATTGTTGCATTTATATTTTTGTTCAGTATACATTTGTATTGGGTCTATCAATATGTCAAAGGAACATTAGGGCCTAGATGATTGCAACGAATTTCACGGCTGGGGGTTGGTAGCTGGCCTCCAGGCAGGGTCAGCCCCCAGTCGTGAACAAGTGGTTGTGCTGAGCCTAACCCCCAGCCGTGGTTGTGCTGGCCCCTCCCGGAAGTGAACCGAGGTTGAGATGGCCGCTCCCATTGTGCAAGAAGCCTGATGAGTCGAGGTTGTACTGAGCCTGCTGGTGGCGCCAACCCCCGACCGTAAGCCGGTCATGGACCAGGGTTGGGTTGAGCTGGCCCGCCTTAGCGCGTAGAGTCCAGAAACAGCATGCACTTGTAGTTCAGACTGCTTGTTAGGCAGATGTACAAAGGCGTGAAGAAGGATGCCGTTTAAATACTATGTGGGTGGTTGATTATTGAGATTGAAGCTGATTTGTAGCTAATGAAGATTAGATGCAGGTGAGCAAATTAGCATGGTCACGCTGTATGACCATATAAGGAGTTCCTTGCTAGTAGGCCGCGTTCCAATATGGGTGTCTGGGCCCATATATGGATTTCCTGCCGCGTTCCAATATGAATGGTAACTACAATGTAGCGTTTTCAAATTGATCAATTTAAGTTTCCTCGTCCCGTTCTTGAACCGGAAGAAGGTGCACGATTGTCTGAGCGCGCGCTCTTTGCCGAGACTACGAATCTGTGCTCGCGCACTATACCTGCCCTGTCCGTGCAGCGTGACTGCGCGAGTTTCTAATGTGACGCTGAAGTCAAACCAGAGAGGAAGAAGAAGAGAGATGCCCAACTCGGCGGAAAATCTGTCTCCCTCCACCAGGTGGCGATTTTTCCTTGTTTCGCCTACCAATGAAGGAGTTTTTTGTATGGAGGTCAATGAGAGTGTCGAATTTGGTCAACTAAAAAAATGAATGGCTCATTTGCTACGTGAGGTTAATTTGTTCGAATGTAAGTTTCGTAATGCTTAAATTGTTACGAGTGTACTAATATAAGTAGGACACGTGACATCCCGGCAACTTTGAAAAATAAAAAAACTTTCTATCAGGTCTCGAGATGAGGCTAGTATCATGAGGCTAGTAGCATAGTATCTCTCTCCATTGAATACCGGCGGTTGACGTCAACAACCTTCATCGAATAATACATATTTTTTTTATACAATAATGAGATGTATCCATCAATCCAAAGAACGGATAGGCGGGAAGCGGTGGAAGGATGGTGGAGGCGGAAGTTTTGTTTGAAACTGATGGCGCGTTAGGTGGAGATGAGCGTGAGAAGGAATGGATTACAAACAACTGAAAACCGATGGTCCTTCGGGGTGGCGTGGCTACACTTGGTCGGGTCTTGGGAAGAGGAAGCTGGATGGTGGTTGGAAGAGCCGCTTGTTTGAAATGGAAAAGTGTCGCGGTAGCTATTGATAAAGAAGAACCATCAAGACGGAGCAGCTGCTTTACAATTGGGATGCACTGTTGAGAGCTTGAGAGCTACATCCCAAGGGGTTCGTGATGATTGTACTGAGATTGTGACAGCCTGTTAAATGGCGTCCTTTGAGAAGGCAAGAACAAGATGTATGTCAGGAGAGGTGCAGTATTATCATAAGGAGACATACTTGGAATACGGAGGGGAAAATAGAGGCAGAGGAGGTCTAAAAGAGAGAGGGAGGAAGAGGGTGAACTTGAGTTGGTTAAAAAAGGTGGGGAAAAGGGAGAAGGTTTGTTAAAGAAGAATGGTAGAAAATGTAAGCAGAGTTAGCTGAAGACAGGAGGAGAAAGAGACTTAGTATCGGAGGTGGTATGTGTGGTGAAGTTCTCGGAGCCCGAGGCTTGCATAGAGGGTCAGGATAAAGATGAGTCTGTGACAGCAGGAGTGACGTTTTTGGAAAAAGTGGACCCTTGCCTTTTGGCTGGTCCATTTACGGTTTCAGGGTGGGTGAAAACAGAGTTAGGTGCTGTGGAATCGATGAGGGTAACCAGAAATGGTCTTGTGATAATTGTTTGTGTTTCTGCTGGTCAGAGGGAGCAGGCGCTCCGCGTTAAAACGAATGGGGGCAAGAGATGTGAATTGTTTTGCTCTCAAGAAAAGGGCGCAATTGAAATAAGTGATTACTGGGGTAAGGGTAAATGTGAAAGTTGACCAACTGAAGGGGAAGATTCCTGGTGTTTGTGATGCTCGTCGTTTGGTGCGACGCAGACAGGGTGGCGTGAGTGGAGAAACAGAAGAGTCGTTGTCTGTTCTTTTGAGTTTTGATGTTGAGTCTTTGCCTGACAAAGTGATGTTAGGATATATAAGTTATCCTGTACGAGCTTTTGTGCCAAATACATTACGTTGTTACAGGTGTCAAGCTTATGGGCATGTGGCAGCAGTGTGTAGGAGGGAGGTTCTTAGGTGTGAGAAGTGTGCACAAGGGCATGAGACAAAGGAATGTGTAGCATTGGTGAAAGTAGTAATATGTGTTAATTGTAGGGGTGCCCGTGGGGCTGGGGACCAGAAATGTCCAGTGCGAGAGAGGCAGGTTGAGGTTTCTAGGGTTAGAGTAGTGCAGAAGTTGTCATGCTGAGGCAGGGAATAAAGTAGAGTAAGATGGGTCAAGGGGGAGGGATCCTGAGAGGAGTGGTGTGAGTAGTAGATCAATACAGAGGGATAGGCCAACAAGTGATATAGGTTTCAGGAAGATTGTATTTTTAGCATTTATAGCAATGGTTATCAACTCTACTGCAGGGATGGAACGTAAGTCGCAGAAAATTGAGGTTGTGGTGGCAGCTGCAGAGAGGTATTTGGGTGTGCAAGACTTGATGTCAGAGAGTTACAGGGTGTGTTAAGTGGTGGTGTCCCATCCTTTCAGGCTGTTGGCCTGAAGTAGGACTAAATAGATTAAAATAGTGGAGTAGGGTGGTTAGTAAAAAATATATATATATTTATTTGTTTATTATTTCAATAACAACAAAAATCTGAGTGTAGTGTTAGATGGTAGGGTATTTGTTTATTTATTTATTTCAAGCAAAGTATAAGGGAGTTATACTCCAGTCTAGTAGGTGGCGTTAATGCAACATTTATTGGATGCCAACCGCCGTTAAACCTCATCGAAGAAGAAGAAGAAGGAACAGATTACGGTGGTGAACAAAAAAGGAAACCAGAGAAGGAAAGTGGTTGTGGAGTCTAGTAAATCCAATTCTAGTTCTGACTCTGGTTTTAGTCGTAGTGAAGGTTTTGGATCGATCGAGATACCTGGAAGATCCGTTTGAAGTCTCTATGAAAATCATAGATGCGTTGGATGAGGTGGCGTCAGTGAAAATAACAAGACATTTGTTTATTTCGTTTTTTGTGTGTGTCCAAGGAGCAGAAGGAGCCTGCTTTGCGCCTGAAAAATATATATCGGATTGGAATGTGTCGTGTGTGGATCTGCGAAGCAAGGCGCCTATTAAGATGGTTATCTCTGGAGTGGCACTAGAAGTGAGTGCAAAGAATGTAACTGAAGTAGATCCAGTGGTTGGAACCGACTGACCCCTATGGTGGATGGAGTGAGGAAGCCCACTCCATCTGTTCTATTGTTCTGTGAAGAAGTGTCTCTCCCTTTGTATGTATATTTGGGTTATGTGAGATATCCTGTAAGAGCCTTCGTACCCAAACCCTTGCAGCGTGATAAATGTAAACTATTTGGACATGTCAAGTGTATGCAGACAGGAGGAATATCGAATGCCATTTGAGGCGAAAAGCTGCAATTGTGGTGGCGAGCATGCACCCGAATTCATGAAGTGCCCTTTTAGGGTGAAGGAGACCGAGGTGGCAAGAATAGGCTGTCCAACATGTCTCCTATCTGGAGGTGGTGAGAAGAGTGGATGAAAGGAGTGACGTTGAAGAAACTATAATAGTTGGATTAGAGGCATCATTAAAAGTTCCTTGCCAACAGGATCCTCACATGTTGCATGTTAAAAAGGTGGACTTTGTATCATTTATTGCATTGGTTATAAACTGCACAGCTCAAACAAAGAAGAAATCTGAGAAAATAGGCATCGTTGTGAGTGCGGCTGAACGTTTTTTTGGGACTCAGGGATTTTACAGCAGAGGAATTACAAGGAATCCTGTAAATGAATGTTCTGTCCACACAGGCCCCTGAGCCTATGTAAGGATGTGATTTCGATTATCACTGAAGGAGTGAGCTGGGGCTTTTTGGGCTTTCTTTTAAATTTGTATTTTGTATGACGTCTGATTAAAAAAAATCTATAGTTTTCCACCCTACAGTAGGTGGCGTCATGCAACTCTAATGCGGACCGCCATAATAACATTGACGAAGAAGAAGGACAGGCGGGAGCTAGACTGCCCGCCGTGCCGCTTTGTGGACAACGACTCCCATTGTAAGGGCGGAGAGACGTGTATCTTGTCAGTATATCCATAATCTTTGGTCAAACACAGAAACCGAGAAACCGGTTCCTCTCTCCTTCTGAAGCAAGGACATCTGTCCTTGAGGTGGATAGATAAAAGTAGTGGGTGACATTAGTAGCATATTCAGGATTGGATGCTGTCATTGATGGTTAAAACACATCTCATCAGACAGTGTCTGTTCACTGCAGAGAGAGAAAGAGAGAGAGAGAGAGAGAGAGAGAGAGAGAGAAGAGAGAGAGAGAGATGTGGTATGTGTGTCATCTCATGAGATAGATCCTCCCACCGGCGACAGCATATTTATACAGTGAGAGCGGCGGCTGTCGGCCGTACAGAGGAGCGATTGGGAGATATAGAGATACATCGTACCGAGGTAAGTAGCCTACAGAGCTGCCGCTACAGAGCTGAGGGATGGTGTTGCTGCTTTCTCCTGGAGGGATGCGGAGAGCTAGAGGATGGCCGGGAGTGTCTGACCTAAATTATAGGTAGTAGCCTACAAGGATGATGAAATTGTCGCAATTCGCATGTGAGCCCGCGTACGATGGCATCACTCAAGATCACGGAGGGGGAAGAGACTTAGTAGCATACCCTATAGTAGCCTAACATAGAATGCTGTAAAGATTGTGTACTGGGCCAAAAACGCAGTGCCTTTTAGACTAGACAAGTCCTGTGATAGGCGGTAATTGTGCAATCCACAAGCCTATTTGAAGAGAATGTAACATTGATTACAGTAACAATCATAATTTGGTAGGCCTAATTGCTAAATTCTTATTGTGGTATAGGCATAGTTAGCCAAATGGAGGGTTGAATTAAGCCCTGTTTATACCTGGTGCAAACATGCACACTTTGTCCTCATTCTGATTGTGCCCACATTTGTAGACAGGTATAAACGATTAATAGCCACATTGTGATCTGATTGTGATCAGATCTTCCTGTCCACCTTCGGAGGTAGTCAGGCACGCAAGTGTAAACAGATCTGGATGGCCAAACCATTTAAATCATCATTATACCTGCCTCTAAACCAATTGTCAGGTAGCAGCACCATTGACTTATGTCATCAGTAAATGTCTTTAAAATAAATCAATATTATTTTGAAAGACTACCTGTCTGGCCAGATTATCTGTCAAATAACAGCTAATCTGGCTACAATGCGGACACAATGGATGGATAAGAGACACATTTTAATACAATCTGTAGACGCAACAAACCTTAATCAGATAGTGATTGGATCATACTTGATCAGATCCCCAAACTCACATGTTAGTGCATGGTGTAAACGAGGCTCTACAGTACAAGAACATAAAACACAATTACAGCTAAAACAGATACAATACCTATTAGGCCTATTTATTTCAAACATTCCAGCTCAGAATACCAGCCGTATGCAGTTGGCTTTATATCAGCACTTTTACATGCAGGGAATACTAGAGTTGGCCATCTCCACGGTAACGGAATTATGCTTTGACTCAGATTTTTCACTTTAAAATGTATGCCAAACAAAAACCATTGATTTCAAAGTTTAACAAACCATACAACTCTATGCAAAGTGACTACTTTGAACAATGTACACAGCAAATTTAACAAAAAACACATTTACTGGAAGAACTGTGCAGATGCAGAGAGAGAGAGAATATCCAAGGGTAATGACAGTCTATTGAATATCACACCTTTCATATTCTGACACAGTACAAAGTTCGTGGCACCTGTACAAAGTTTGCACTTGTTATTTTTAATATATACAGTTTTTCTTCCTATTTAACATTTTATTCTTTATTCCTGTTTACACCGAAAAGATGCAGACTTTGTACAGGTGCAGATACTGAGTGATTTTGGCCCTGAGAGTAACAAAATTGTTTATCTGATGTAACAAGCGTCCCCTGGCTTGTTGAGTTGGTAGGGAATTGACCCCAACCCTGGCACTGCCACCTAACCCATTCAACCCTGGCACTGCCATCTAACCCATTCAACCCTGGCACTGAACCTAACCCATTCAACCCTGGCACTGCCACCTAACCCATTCAACCCTGGCACTGCCACCTAACCCATTCAACCCTGGCACTGCCACCTAACCCATTCAACCCTGGCACTGAACCTAACCCATTCAACCCTGGCACTGCCACCTAACCCATTCAAGCCACGGCATAACAAATCAATATATCAATCAATCACATTTTTTATATATAGTGCTTTTAACCAAAACATTTTTCACAAAGTGCTTTACAGTAACCCGGCCTAAACCCTCCGAGAGTAAACAGTAGCACATTTGGCAAGGAAAAATTCCCTGGAAGGAAGAAACCTTGAGGGGAACCAGACTTAAAGCAGGGTTGAGATGCTCCTCTGGCGGCCAGGTAGAAGTTCTAGAAGTTTCTACAAGTTCTCATAGTTTTGAGTACATATTCTATCCCCCCTTCTCCATGCGAGTAAGCTGGCTGAATGTGGGTGAGTGTTAAATTGGTCAGTGGTGTGGAAATGCCAGATTTAGCCTGCCAAATAGGGGGCACGGCTGTACATTACCCACTGCCCGCTCCCTCCATCGCTCTCTCTGGTACTCCCGCCCAAACAGAGCACGGCCAGTGTATGGAATCCTGCCACTTTTACTGAAAAGGGTAACACCCCAGCACTGGGTGAAAAACAGCATGCTGCACTGTCTCACCCAGGGCTGGGCAGGGGAATGGGAGGTGGAAAGGGGGCGATGCGGGGGAGTGCGTGTTTGTCAGAGGGGAGGTGGGTGCATGTGGGAGTGGAGGTGGGTGCATGTCAGAGGGGAGGTGGGAAGGGAGACGGTGTGGATGACCTGTGGCAGGTGGTGGGAAGCAGGGAGGAGGTGTGTGCATGATGCAGGGTTAGAGGGGAGGTGTTTGGGTGGGTGTGTACGGGGGTGGGGGTAGAAAGGCGCGCCCCTCTTGTCTAGTCTGTCAGCATGCCAGGTCTACATTCCCACCGCGCCGGCCAGTGAAAAGGGCGGCAAATATATAAACAGGCCTGGCAGGGTTAGAGCCTGCTGGGAGTGATCGGGGGGATTTACACCCCGCCGGGCACACAATGGCACCGCCACATAACATACAAACACACACAATGGCACCGTGGCACAAGAGACCTGAGCCTCCATAGATTTGATGCGTACTGTCTTTTGTTTGGGAAGCGGAGGTTCGTCTAGCCACGGCCTGTGTGTACGATGCAGGGGGCGCGCCGGGGTGGGTGGGGTGTTGTGGTCCTGATTGGGTGTGTGTGTGTACAGTGGGGAAAAAAAGTATTTAGTCAGCCACCAATTGTGCAAGTTCTCCCATTAAAAAGATGAGAGAGACCTGTAATTTTCATCATAGGTACACGTCAACTATGACAGACAAAATGAGAAAAGAAAATTCAGAAAATCACATTGTAGGATTTTTAATGAATTTATTTGCAAATTATGGTGGAAAATAAGTATTTGGTCAATAACAAAAGTTTCTGAAGACTTTGTTAAATACCCTTTGTTGGCAATGACACAGGTCAAACGTTTTCTGTAAGTCTTCACAAGGTTTTCACACACTGTTGCTGGTATTTTGGCCCATTCCTCCATGCAGATCTCCTCTAGAGCAGTGATGTTTTGGGGCTGTCGCTGGGCAACACAGACTTTCAACTCCCTCCAAAGATTTTCTATGGGGTTGAGATCTGGAGACTGGCTAGGCCACTCCAGGACCTTGAAATGCTTCTTACGAAGCCACTCCTTCGTTGCCCGGGCGGTGTGTTTGGGATCATTGTCATGCTGAAAGACCCAGCCACGTTTCATCTTCAATGCCCTTGCTGATGGAAGGAGGTTTTCACTCAAAATCTCACGATACATGGCCCCATTCATTCTTTCCTTTACACGGATCAGTCGTCCTGGTCCCTTTGCAGAAAAACAGCCCCAAAGCATGATGTTTCCACCCCAATGCTTCACAGTAGGTATGGTGTTCTTTGGATGCAACTCAGCATTCTTTGTCCTCCAAACACAACGAGTTGAGTTTTTACCAAAAAGTTATATTTTGGTTTCATCTGATCATATGACATTCTCCCAATCCTCTTCTGGATCATCCAAATGCACTCTAGCAAACTTCAGACGGGCCTGGACATGTACTGGCTTAAGCAGGGGGACACGTCTGGCACTGCAGGATTTGAGTCCCTGGCGGCGTAGTGTGTTACTGATGGTAGGTTTTGTTACTTTGGTCCCAGCTCTCTGCAGGTCATTCACTAGGTCCCCCCGTGTGGTTCTGGGATTTTTGCTCACCGTTCTTGTGATCATTTTGACCCCACGGGGTGAGATCTTGCGTGGAGCCCCAGATCGAGGGAGATTATCAGTGGTCTTGTATGTCTTCCATATCCTAATAATTGCTACCACAGTTGATTTCTTCAAACCAAGCTGCTTACCTATTGCAGATTCAGTCTTCCCAGCCTGGTGCAGGTCTACAATTTTGTTTCTGGTGTCCTTTGACAGCTCTTTGGTCTTGGCCATAGTGGAGTTTGGAGTGTGACTGTTTGAGGTTGTGGACAGGTGTCTTTTATACTGATAACAAGTTCAAACAGGTGCCATTAATACAGGTAACGAGTGGAGGACAGAGGAGCCTCTTAAAGAAGAAGTTACAGGTCTGTGAGAGACAGAAATCTTGCTTGTTTGTAGGTGACCAAATACTTATTTTCCACCATAATTTGCAAATAAATTCATTAAAAATCCTACAATGTGATTTTCTGAATTTTGTTTCCTCAACTTGTCTGTCATAGTTGACGTGTACCTATGATGAAAATTACAGGCCTCTCTCATCTTTTTAAGTGGGAGAACTTGCACAATTGGTGGCTGACTAAATACTTTTTTTCCCCCACTGTATATGAGGGGGGTCATGACTGTGTGTGTGTGTGTGTGTACAGAGAGAGAGACACAGAGAGAAACAGGGAGAGAGAGAGCGAGACAGAGAAAGAAACAGAGAGAGAGACCGAGAGAGACAGAGATGGACACAATAGCAGGATGAATAGTTGTTTTATTCCCTGTGTGTGTGCTGGAGTCAGCTGAGTGCCGATAGAGACAGACCGAGGGATGGGATCTCCGCTCACATAAAACAACAACCGTCGATGGCCGATCCAGTCCGGTTTGAACCTGTCACACCAGACTGAGAAGCAGACTGAGAAGTGACAACTACAGTAATTTAACAGACCACAACCCTCTCTCTCAGCTAAAAGGCTCTAACTCTAACGGACGACAGCTCTACTGTTGGCCAAGCAAACACTCTCTGTATGATTTGGCAGTCCCACACTCTACTGTACCCCACTCACTTAACCGGTGAGAGAATGAAAGACTGTCTGCAACCATCTTCACTTTGTTTACGAATATTCTCTCTCTCTCTCTCTCTCTCTCTCTCTCTCTCTCTCTCTCTCTCTCTCTCTCTCTCTCTCAGTGTGCTGGCCCTGGCTACAGCCATGCCTCTTCTGGAAGAGACCACTGTGCCCCGAGAGCATCCCCCCACGCTGCCTGTGGTCATCATAGGTATGTTTAGCTCTGACCTCTAACTCTGCCCCGAGAGGCTAGCACCCCTTCGCCACCCCACCTCGCCCGCTGTCATCATTCACAGGTAACCTCTGACATCGTAAACATTTGATTCTCTCCTCTGTGTCTGTTTAGGTAACGGGCCATCAGGTATCTGCCTGTCCTACCTGCTGAGTGGCTACAAGCCCTACCTGGACCCTTCAGCTGTTCACCCAAACCCTGTTCTGTACAGGAAGCTACAGGAGACCAGACACCTGCCCATCACCGAACAGGTAAACATCAAAACATTGCATTAAACACACGTACAGCACGCACACACAGATCACAGTTGACGAACACATAAACATTGAAACATGATAAAGTCTGTTCTCTCTGTGCAGGATCTGGAGTATCTGAGTGAGGGTCTGGAGGGGCGGTCAGGAAACCCTGTAGCGGTGCTGTTTGACACCCTGCTGCACCCCAATGCTGACTTTGGCTACGAGTTTCCCCCTGTGCTACAGTGGAGACGAGACAAGCAGCAGCACGTCCCTCACCTGGTGCTGGGCAGGGCTACGCCTGGAGGAGCCTGGCACGTGAGTTATCCCTAAACCGCTTATACCCTCCTTTCCCATTCATTTACCCAGAGCTATGCCTGTGAAACCTGGCAAGACTTCACCCCTAAACATCAACCCCAAAATCTCCTCATCCCTTTGTTCTAATGCTAAACCTAAACTCCATTCTTTAAATCCTCACCTCCAATCCTCTCTCTTTTAATCTCTCTCTTCTAGGTGATGGAGGGCTCCATGCTGACCATCAGCCTGGGCATCTGGATGGAACTGCCAGGGATCAACTACCGAGACCTGACTAACAATGGGAAACGCAGGTACTGACAGAGAGGGAGGGAGATATGAGAGGCTGCAATGAAGTGAAATAGATTGAAAACAATGCGACAGCTTAAATGTCCTTAATACTGTAACAGAGTTTACTAAAGGATATTTTGTTTGACAACGAGTGCTCTTCCTCTCTCTTCTCTCTCTCCAGGGGAGTGACCAACGACCGAGCCACTCCAGAGGAGATCTCGTCTTACTACCGTAACTACGTCAAGCTGATGGGCCTGAAGAAGAACTTTGTTGACAACACCTACGTGACCTCTGTGCAGAAACTTCTCCGTGGTCACGAGGGGGAGGGTCTAGAGAATGGTCATGGAGGGGAAGGGGGTTTGGGGGAGGGGGGAAAGGGGGTGTACGAGGGGAGGGAGGGTGAGGGTGTAGACGAAGGGGGAGGTGGGGGCCTGTGGGAGGTGAGGGGGTACCAGCAGGTGCAGGGCGACACCCATGTTCCTTTCTGCCTGTTTTCGGAGAATGTAGTTCTGGCCACGGGCGCGTCTGATTCGCCAGCTCGGCTGGGTGTGGAGGGGGAGGAGCTTCCCTTTGTGTTCCACAGCATCTCTGCCCTGGGATTGGCTGTGAGCCGGAAGAAGCTTGGGCCGAACTCTGACCCTGTGCTGATCGTGGGGGCGGGGTTAAGCGCGGCGGATGCGGTTTTGTGTGCTTGTAACAACAACATTTCTGTGCTGCATGCCTTCCGCAAACACGTAGACGACCCAGGCCTCATCTTTAAACAGCTACCCAAGACTCTCTACCCGGAATACCACAAGGTCTACCACATGATGCACTCCCAGACACACGCAACACCAAACATGGCTGCCACCTCCACCAACAATGGCCTTCCCAGCATGGCCGCCTCAGTCTGCTCCAAGATGTGCTCCAAGCCCCAACCTCCCACAAGTAACATGACCGCCGGTGGTGGTCCTGTTCTGTTCCCTGACTACACCAGCTTCCCAGAGCACTGCGTGGTGTCCTTCCAGCCAGACATGAAGTGTGTCCTGCAGGGGAGCAACTCCCTCAAGGCCTTTAAGATCTCCATGGCCCTGGTGCTGATCGGCACCCACCCCAACCTGTTCTTCCTCAAGGGCCAGGGCCAGTACCTGGGACTGGACCCCACCAAGCCCATCTCCTGCAAGCAGAACCCCATGGACGTGCACCCCTACACCTTCGAGTGCACCAAGGACCCAGGACTGTTCGCCATGGGCCCGCTGGTTGGAGACAACTTTGTTCGCTTCCTAAAGGGCGGTGCTCTAGGCATTGCCTCCTGCCTGCTCAAGAGACTGAAGAAGAAAGGCAAGCTGATCGCAGACAGGGGAGGAGGAGGAGAGTTTATCTAGGTGAAGTGTGGATGGAGAGGAAGGAAGGAGGGGGTGAAGGAGTTGGAAGGGAAAGGGGGGAGTGGAGGAATGAGGAGGAGAGGGGGAGAGAGGAATTAAGAAGGAAGAGGAGAGGAAGGAGGAGTGACATGACATGGTACAGTGCTTATGGCAGGTAAAATAACCCTGTTATGATGCTTGAAAATGTTCTACCTATGATTGTTTGCATTTTCACACTTTATAACCAGGTTTTGTTTGTCGTCATAAGACATGTACAAGATTGTCAAAATATGGCACTTTTACAAGTGTTTTGTTGGCTTTTTAACAACCGTTTCAACTAAGCTACTATTACCAACAGAGTGCTGAGTTAAAAGGGCAAAGCCAAACAGTACGCTTTTTTATCTTTTCATTGTGTATGCAGTGGACATACCTATTTGAACTCTGATGCTTTCTTACCACTTCTGAGAGAACTCAAAACAATGGAAGTGGAGGCAGGCTAGAGTTCCAGTACATGACTAGGTTCAGCCCACCACCCGTTACTACTCCACTGTTCTGGTTTCTACTGGGAAGCTGTCAGACAGGGTTTGGTGTCCTCTATCCAGAAGTCCAATCTGCAGTGTGACAAGGTTTTTTAAAAAGTCATGTGACATTTTGTAACTTCTCCTGGACCATAATTTCTTACGATTTTGTTATTTGCTCACCTTGTCTTTCATGCAAGAAGATTTTCTGATTTCTCATCATCGGTCTACTTCAAACAATTGTTCTACTATCTCTCTGATGGCCTTCACCATGCAATGAACTGTGAACCACTACAACTCCCTTTTAAAGCTTCAAGGAAATGGAACCTTGTAGAGATAGGCCCATAGCTGCTATAGTGTTTCTGACGTCATCTCAATCCTGAGTTTCTCATCAGTGCCAAGCTACATACCCCAAGCAGTATCTGGCAGACCAGGATGTAATGGGAACGTTGAAGTAACGGATGAATAACAGATGAATCAAAAACCCATCACCATTCTAATCAGACGAATTAGAACTAACTCACAATGGTTGGAGCGCTCCTCTTATTGCTTTTCCTATGCAAACCCTTCCACTCACACACCTGAATGTATTCTGGATCAGATAACTCATTGCTAATTTACTGTACATGTGAGCCTGATTTCAACGAACCGGGCATAAGTGTTCTCTATTGATGTTAGACCATAACAAAAAGCCAAATACTTCTTTAGACGCACAGATGAGCGCGACTCTTGGCTGCAGTAAGAAAGCCATCGCCATCTGCGCCCATTCAACATAGTCTAGATTTACGTTTTTATTACTCCTAACAAAATAACTTTTTGGGTTCTCATACGCTTACCATGATGTTTTGATTCTTGCTTGAACAGTCGCTAAGATTATATTTGGTTGTGATCTTTGCAAAATAACTATTTTGAATGCAGCAGTTGTTAGCTAGAACGCTAACGCTCATTGACATAGACTGTAGCAAAAGCTAGCCAAAGAGCCATTATACTGGTTGAAGTGTTTTTTTGCAGTTGATTTGCGATGAGACAAACATATTAAGCAGGACATTCATACGAGCCGTATAATCCCAAAGTAGTGTGAAATGCACTCATAAGTAACATGGAGAGGCTTTTTTTGCTGGCGTTCTATAAGAACTCCCCCGGTGTTCTGCCACCAACTTGCGCGCATCGCCCTCGTGCGACAATGTCTGCAAACACAGAAAAGGGTCTATAAAATTATTCTACAGTCGACGACTCCTGATAAGTGCACATTGGATAAGCGCAAACTGTAGGTGCATTCATTGCCGTCCACCAGTCTGAATACAAAACTGCTAGTCCCTTGCATTTATCCGGAGTTGACTATCGCCTATTGAAGTCATAATGACTATGTTAAACGCACATTTCATGGTTGCCATTATGGAGTAAATATTATGCCTGTTGCTCTGAATCCAGGTCCGTATAGTATTCTTTGTGACATTTCTCATACGATGTCACTTTCACACAGCCATCATATGCCTCATGTGTCTCTGTCGTGGCAAATACCTGAAAACGTATGGACAGTTCCTGGGGAATATGCTGTATTCCAAACCAACCCCTAGCAACCAGCCCCTAGGCACTCCATCCAGATCTGAAAAGATGAATCATTGGATAGGTGTAATCAAGGTGGTGGTAGTCACTCAACATTGCCCTCAGATAGGCCATCAGCCTATGGCTAATTAGGCCTACATGTCCTACACAGCAGGTGCCTTGGTGAGAAGGGTTAGCTAGGGGTTGATTCATAAGAAAAGGAAACATCAGGTTCCCCAACCCCTGGGGTCTAACCAGTGGTTTTCTACTACTGTCTTACATGTATTCCATGGTCTTCTCCTGTTCACAGCAGACAGACAAGCTGCTTTGTGCATGGTAGAGTTGGACTCCTCTCTTGTACAACTCAAATTAGTTTTTCATATGTTTTGTATACTGTATTTTTTATTATGGACAAATAAACATCTAAAAAATATATTGAAACGTAAAACCTATTTATTTGTTTACATTGCTCGCCATCAGTGACTAAATCAAGGTATATAATTAGTGTACAGTACATAGAAAGTTAGACATTTATGCCCACATCTATCACTGACAAAAACTGTTTAAACATTTGTCATTGAAAGGCCCCTCTGGTCATTTTGAGTACAATGATGAAGAGTTAACTAAAAGATCCATTCATTAACATTATTAGTGGAGCGGAGATGGCAGTTCTATCAAACTAACAATTCTAGAAGCGCAAAACATTCCATGGGGTGTTGACATCCCTTCCTGTGTCTTAAGATTCCATTCGTCTGCAGGGCTTCACATGTTGCATCCAGGTGCTCTCATCTTTTCTTGGTGGGTTTGGGGTTGTATCTACACACACACACACACACACACACACACACACGGGTTAAGTCGGGGCAGTGGCCAGCCAGACATCCACCTAGACACTCAGGCTTTTAACATTCCTGCTAGATCAATCCTGGATGCATTTTGGACAAATATTAAAAATAGCCCAAATTAAGCCAGCGCTGTAAACTTCTGGCCGTGTTTGAAGAGCTCAAACCAAACATCCTCCCAATAAACTAAGTCTGGGAGACGGGTTCGGGCCGGACCCAAAAACATAAAACCGCAGCTTGTTTTCTTAGTACCCGGGGCTGTCCTCTGGCCATGCATGACTGAGTGGGCATCATGACTCAATGATCAAACAGCACAGGCTCGCTCCAGGCGTGCACACACAAACCACACCCCTTTTCTGCTTACCAAGGGGAAATGTAGCAGCCTTAACATGCACATACATCACCAGCATAACCCAGACAACCAGCTGTGACACAGGAACCACTGGGCACTGATTGGTCAGTGACAAGCCAAAACTAAGATCCACCCACTCACATCAGGAATGTTTATCTCTCGGTTCTGTGCGTCTTGGTCTAAACGTTCCTTTCAGATGACTATTTGACAGGCGAATCCAAAAATGGTGTTGATGTGTATTGTATGTATGCAGGGGACCAGCTCATTTAACCTTGAGGGATAATACAGCTCTAATGTATGTGAATCAGAATCAAAACCTGAGATCAGCCATGTTGGTTGGATTACAGCTACAACCAAGGCTATGTTGCTGTGCGGTCAATGTTGTTTTGTGTTTTTAAATTGGGGTTAGGGGAATGAATAGATGAATGAATGAGTGTGGAGTAATGAAGAGCTCAGCAGAGAGCCTTTAGTCCCATTCATCCTGTGTGCGTCAGCCTGTATGGCTCTGTTGTCTTGTGTCTGGTAGTGACGTCCTTGAACACGGAGCAATGCCCCCTGGGAATGTGATGTTTGTGTAAGCTGGGTGCTCCAACCCTTCTGCTCCGCTGCAGATGGAGCGGCTGACTTTTTCTACCTTGGGGGCTGGAGGGGGCAACATCACTCCACATTCATTCCCATAATTCCCTTAACCCCATTCCCAGCCTGGCTCCAAACCTCATGTACTGTAGGCTGTGGTGCCCTCCACCTGAAATAATGTGACCCCCATTGATTTGGGTTGATTGTTTTGATGTTTGCAGCCCAACAAGCCTTGACTCGTACCTGAAGAGGTCATCTCCCAAAGTCTCCTCTTTCTTGCTCTGACGCTCATCCTGAAACACACAGACACAGGGCTTTGACTCACAGACCCACACACCTCCATCTCCTCTCTACCCAGCCTCAACCCCTTCCATCTCTTCTCTACCCAGCCTCAACCCCTCCATCTCCTCTCTACCAGCCTCAGCCCTCATCTCTCTACCCAGCCTCACCCTCATCTCTCTACCCAGCCTCAGCTCCTCCATCTCCTCTCTACCCAGCCTCAGCTCCTCCATCTCCTCTCTACCCAGCCTCAGCCCCTCCATCTCCTCTCTACCCAGCCTCAACCCTTCCATCTCCTCTCTACCCAGCCTCAGCCCCTCCATCTCCTCTCTACCCAGCCTCAACCCCTCCATCTCCTCTCTACCCAGCCTCAACCCTTCCATCTCCTCTCTACCCAGCCTCAACCCCTCCATCTCCTCTCTACCCAGCCTCAGCCCCTCCATCTCCTCTCTACCCAGCCTCACCCCTCCATCTCCTCTCTACCCACCTCACCCCTTCCATCTCCTCTCTACCCAGCCTCAGCCCCTCCATCTCCTCTCTACCCAGCCTCAGCCCCTCCATCTCCTCTCTACCCAGCCTCAGCCCCTCCATCTCCTCTCTACCCAGCCTCAGCCCCTCCATCTCCTCTCTACCCAGCCTCAACCCTTCCATCTCCTCTCTACCCAGCCTCAGCCCCTCCATCTCCTCTCTACCCAGCCTCAGCCCCTCCATCTCCTCTCTACCCAGCCTCAACCCCTCCATCTCCTCTCTACCCAGCCTCAGCCCCTCCATCTCCTCTCTACCCAGCCTCAGCCCCTTCACCCCGTTACTACACAATTTCATGGTAAATACCATGTACTTATCTTCTAGGAGTGTTTGTGTGTCTCAGGGGTTGCTAAACAGACATTAAGTATTGTAGTAAAAAGCAGCTGAAGTAGGACTGTGTACCTCTGCTGCGTCTCTCAGCCACTCCTCCAGCTCAGAGTTCTTGCCCCGGTTGTGGGCCAACAGGTCTGACCCTCCGATGATGTTGGGCAAACCCTGGGCACCGGGCACTGGGACCTGAAACACACATCCACATGAATTACTACACACACATAGACACACACACAGAAACAGAGACACTAAGCTACAGAGTCCCATGACCCTGTGTTGTGGTGAGGTGGATTCTGGGGTCTACCTTGCGGAAGCGTTTGAAGTCCTTCATGTTGACGTTGCTGTGCGTCTCCGTGGGGCGTGGTTTATGGCCCTACCAAGCCGTTTGCAAACCTCTCCTTGCCAGTGGCTGCGCCTCTCCGTGGGCAGTCCTAGTCTTCACTGGCCCCGTCTCCGACAGTTGACGGATTAACTCATTCTCCATGGCCCCTACTGCAGGAATTTCACTACCTCCCACTGCCCATCACCAGTTACTGCACAACCTACCTTCCCACTGAGACCCATTACTGACAACCTAACTTCTCACGGCCCTAACCTCCCAACAGGTACTGACCAGACCTAACTCTCCACTCCCCTCTCCAACCGTTACTCACGACCAGTAACTCTTCTACTGCCCTACTCCCTGACCCTTCCTGACAGATCATTACTCTTTCCTTATTGCAGCCCTATCCAGACCAGTTATGACGGACATACTCTTCTCCACTGCCCCCTCCAGGAACAGTACCATAACCCTGCTTCAACTCCATGGCCCTACTCCAGACCAGTTACTGACACCTGACGCCTTCCTCCCCTACCCGACACGCTGGCCAATTCCTCCACTGTCCCCTATCCAGAGCCAGTACTGACGAGCCTCGATTCTCCACGGCCCTCTAGTACACAGTTACTGACAGAACTAACTCTTCTCCACTGGCCCCTACTCCAGACAGATACAGACAGGACTTACTGAGGCTTTTGTTTGGCAGGTTTGGAGGGTTTGGTATCAGTCTCCGGCTTTTCCAGATGACCAGGGGCCACACCACTAACTGGTTTTGCCTTGGGGGGACAGAAGATGAAGGATAGTTAATAATAATAGTCACATAATAGAAACCAGGGCTGGGGAAGCCAGTCAATTCAGAAGTAAACTGAAATTCCAATTCAGCGATAAAAAAAAAGGCATATATTTTCAATGAAACTGAGAAACTGAGAAGTAGAAGCGATCCATTCTTACATTTTAAATTAAAATCACTTCCTGAATTGAGTGGCTTCAATTGGAATTGACCCCAGTCCTGATAGAAACACATCAATTTATTATGTACGTTATGATAACAACACACAGTGACAGCTCCTTTCACCTCAATGAAAGACACCTCTTCCTCTTTGACCTCAGCTACAGGCTCCGCTCGCTGTCTTGTATTGGCTGACGAGCCCTCTTCTGAATCCAAGCTTGACCTATGATAGGCTGTGATTGGTTCCACTGGATCAACCCGCTGTTTCTTATTGGCAGAGGTAAGTTCCACTGTCTTTAGGAGCTGTTTTCTATTGATTGAGCTCTTGTCCGTCAGCTTCGACCGCTGGCCTTGACTGGCTGACATGGGCTCATCTGATTCGTCCATGTCCTCAGACATGATGGACTCCAGTTCGTCCATCTCTATCTCTGAAGCCCCACCCCCTTTCGTCTCCTCCTCCATCTCTTTCCTCTTCCTGGATTGGAGCCCCTGCTGGGCAGGGTGGGAGACCCCCCCTGACAGAGCCTCAGTCTGACCTGCTCCTGAGCTCTGTTGGCCCTGGGACCTGCCTGTGGGGGTGTGTGTGGTAGCCCGTGTGTGTGTCATGGCAGAAGGAGTGTGTGTGGTGGTGTTTGAGGGAGCACGTGTGTGTGTGGTGTTGGAGGTCTCCGTGTGCTGTGGTACTGTCCTCTTCCTCTTCTCCTCCTCCTCCTCTTCCCTCCTGGAGAGCTTGGCCTCTGATTGGACAGTAGAGGACTCCTCTCCTTCCCGAGGTCTGAGAGAGAGAGAGAGAGAAAACATTGGTGTCTGTATATAATATCACCATTAACTCAAGATTGATAAGCCTCTGTGTGGAATTGTATGGATATCTCCAGAGAACTGCACTTGCCTTTTCTTGCCGACAGGCTGGAAGAAACTTGTGAGGGCAGACTGTTTCTGGGGGGAACCTTTCTGCGAGACCTGTTGTTTCTGGGAGGAGCGCTTTTGTTGGGATATCGTCTGCACTCCCCCGATGGTCCGAGGGGCAGTGGCTAGGAATCTGGTGATAGCATCACCTTTCCCTCCACCTAATATCATGATAATACAATGTCATTTAGCAGACACATGTATTCAGTTTATATGGCCCATGCCAGAACTTTACTACTGTAACTGACACCCACCCACTCTGCCTAAGTCATTAGAAACCATTCTACCTGGGTGTTGTAGCTCTCCTTTTTTTCTGTCTGAGCCGCCACCACCAGCGCTGTCTGAGGCGCTGAATGATGACATCATAGTCTCTGCCACTGTGCAGGTCCCGGCCAGCTCTCTGCCTGAGGAGCGTTTGGGTCGGTCAAGACGAGAGGTTGTCCGGCTCTGGTCCCTCTCAGGGGTCTCTCCAACTGCACTCACCCCAGCCACATCCACCCTACCCGGGGATAAGACAGCACAGATCAGCCTGACACACTCAAGTAGAACTGGTTGTTTGGAGCTCAGGTTGTGTGTGCGTGTGTCTTACCCACTGATGCCCTGTGAGGGCTCGGTGTTTACAGCATAGGCTGTGATGTTCTGAGACGCCGCTGGCAGCACCGTCTCATCCACTGGTGCATTCTGGGATAGTGTGGCACCGGGGATGGTGGGTTTCATTCTCATGGATTCTGACCAGGGGAAAAAAACACATGAACAACAATACAATAGTGTTGACTCCACTCCATAAGTCCATATCATTATAAAATCAGGAACTCAAATTAAACAGACTATGATTCACCGTATGAGAGCCCCACCCACCCTGAGAGCCCCACCCACCTGAGTCAGCCATCTGATTGGAGGGATTACAGTACTTGTCACAGCTGACATAGATGGCAGCCAATCCGATCTCAGACTCTGTGATGAACCGAAGACCTTTCCTGGAGAGCGTGAGAGATGGTAAATATAGACTGTGCTGACCCAATCAGTTAGTCTAGTTTCAGAGCTTCAGAGAATAAGCGTAAACCCCTAACAGCAGTCCTTCAACAGTGAATTTACATAGGAAAAGCCTCAAGTCTCAAAAGCTTCAGGAATGTCTCAATTGTTTGTGTCATTCAACCCCCCACAATTCTCTCCCTTTTTAGGTATCGAACACACTCAAACTGCACTCTGTCTTTATGATACTGCAGTGTGTGTACCTCTGTAGAATCCTCCCCACAGAGTCTGCCCACTTCTTAGTGGAGGGGGGCACTAGTGCTTGGGAATTTCCCGTTGCCATGTTGATCACACAGCTCAAAGGCGACTCCAGGAGTGACACAGGGACAGACCCCTCCTCCAGGAGCTGGCTCCTCCCACCTCCGCAATTCACTGCCAAACTCAGACGCTTTTGCTGGAGAGAAGGAACGAACAAGTGAGTGTGTATGAGTGTGTGATAGAGAGATAGAGAAAGAGGCAGAGAGAGAGAGAGAGTTATTGATATTATTGTCGTGATTATTATTCGAAATAGTAGTAGTACGGGTAGTAGGGGTAATGATAGTAGTTTAATGATGGTGGTGATAGTAGTAGTAGTTGTAATGATGATGGTAGTAGTACTGATGTAATGGTGATGATGACAGTTATAGTTTTAGTAGGTAGAGACAGAGGTAGAAATGCTTCTAGTGGTAATGGTAGAAGTAGGGATAGTTGTAGTATTAGTGTTAATAGTGGCGGTAGCATTCATTTTAGTAGTAATAATAGTAGCGTGTTCATTTTCCATGTTTAGCCTTTTATTGTCCATATTATTAATTTAATTTTTCTATTTCTACTATTGACTGTTACCATTTTATTGCTGTTATTTCTATTATTTACTACCATTTTATATTATTATTATTCATTATTTTATTATAATGTACACCGAGTATACCAAACACCTTCCTAATATTGAGTTGCACCCCCTTTTGCCCTCAGTACAGCTTCAATTCGTCGGGCATGGACTCTACAAGGTGTCGACAGCGTTCCACGGGGATGCTGGCCCATGTTGACTCCAATGCTTCCCACAGTTGTGTCAAGTTGGCTGGACCATTCTTGATACACACAGGAAACTGTTGAGCGTGGAAAACCCAGCACCGTTGCAGTTCTTGACACACTCAAACCGGTGCGCCTGGCACCTACTACCATACCCCGTTCAAAGGCACTTAAATATTTTGTCTTGCCCAAACACCCTCTGAATGGCACACATACACAATCCATGTCTCAATTATCTCAAGGCTTAGAAATCCTTCTTTATCCTGTCTCCTCCCCTTATTGATGTCACTTGTAAATTCCACTTCAATCGTAGATGAAGGGATCATAGCTTTCACCAGGATTTACCTGGTCAGTCTATGTCATGGAAAGAGCACATTTTGTACACTTAATGTATATTGTATACATTGTTGCTTTGGCAATATTGACGCAATGTTTTTCATGCCAATAAAGCAGCTTGAGATTGAGAAAGAGAGAGAGATTGAGAATGAGGCAGAGAATGAGAGAGCGATTGACAGAGAGAGATAGAGAAAGGCACAGTGAGAAAGAGAGAGAGACAAAGAGAGAGCGACAGAGACAGAGACGGAGACAGAGAGACGGAGAGAGTGAGAAAGAGAGAGAAAATAAAAACATCACAGATTTTAACAACTATTTCCCCGAATACAACTAAGTGACTACACATAACCAACCACCTAACAAATGTCCTATCATCATTACCTGGTCTCCTAGCTGATGAGAAGAGCTCTCTATCCAAGTCAAATGTTGATCAGGAGGCAATAATCAGGCCATAAAGACTAATGGAAGCCCTTAATTGATTTATTCAGACTCTCACATTAAGCAGCCATGTGAGGCGAGGGCTGTTCTGTAACGTGGGATTGTATAACGGCTATTCATAGAGAAAGTTTGGAGAGTGAGAGAGAGGCAGGCCAGTACCTGTTTGGCATTGAGGAAGAGGAAGGTCTTGTCAGTGAAAAGTTCTTTACGTTCTGGCCTCTCTGTCAGGTCCACCTCATCCTTATTCAGACTGGGCTCATCTATCTCTGGGAAGAAACTATTAACACCCACAAACAGTCATTCAATAAGGTTAAAGGGATAGTGAGAGATTTGGGCAATTATCTTTATCTACTTGCCTAGAGTCAGATTAACTCATGGATACCATTTAGAAGTCTCTGCGACCAGTATGAAGGAAGTTAAAAGTAGTTTTGCGAGCCATTGTTAACTAGTCTACCTCGCAGTATCCATTTAATCCATTGGCATATACAAAGAATTTGGAAAGCATTCAGACCCCTTGACTTTTTCCCCATTTTGTTATGTTACAGCCTTATTCTAAAATGGATGAAATATTTTTTTTCCCTCATCACTCTACACACAATACCCCACAATGACAAAGCGAAAACTGGTTTTTAGACATTTTTACACATTTATAAAAAGAAATACCTTATTTACATAAGTATTCAGAATCATTGCTATGAGACTCGAAATTGAGCTCAGGTGCATCCTGTTTCCATTGATCATCCTTGAGATGTTTCTACAACTTGATTGGAGTCCATCTGTGGTCAATACAATTGATTGGACATGATTTCGAAAGGCACACACCTGTCTATAAAGGTCCCACAGTTGACTGTGCATGTCAGAGCAAAAACCAAGGCATGAGGTCGAAGGAAGTTGTCCGTAGAGCTCCGAGACAGGATTGTGTCGAGGCACAGATCTGGGAAGGGTACCAAACAATGTCTGCAGCATTGAAGGTCCCCAAGAACACAGTGGCATCCATCATTCTTAAATAGATGAAGTTTGGAACCACCAAGACTCTTCCTAGAGCTGGCCGCCCGGCCAAACTGAGCAATCGGGGGAGAAGGGCCTTGGTCAGGGAGGTGACAAAGAACCCGATGGTCACTCTGACAGAGCTCCAGAGTTACTCAGTGGAGATGGGAGAACCTTCCAGAAGGACAACCATCTCTGCAGCACTCCACCAATAAGGCCTTTATGGTAGAGTGGCTAGACTGAAGCCACTCCTCAGTAAAAGGCACATGACAGCCCGCTTGGAGTTTGCCAAAAGGCACCTAAAGGACTCTTAGACCATGAGAAACAAGATTCTCTGGTCTGATGAAACCAAGAATGAACTCTATGGCCTGAATGCCAAGTGTCACGTCTGGAGGAAACCTGGCACCTTCCCTACGGTGAAGAATGGTGGCGGCAGCATCATGCTGTGGGGATGTTTTTCAGCGGCAGGGACTGGGGACTAGTCAGGATTGAGGGTAGGATGAATGGAGCAAAGTACAGCGAGATCCTTGATGAAAACCTGCTCCAGAGCACTCAGGACCTGACTGGGGCGAAGGTTCACCTTCCAACAGGACAACGACCCTAAACACACAGCCAAGACAATGCAGGAGTGGCTTCGGGACAAGTCTCTGAATGTCCTTGAGTGGTCCAGCCAGAGCCCGGACTTGAACCCAATCTAACATATCTGGAGCGACCTGAAAATAGCTGTGCAGCGACGCTCCCCATCCAACCTGACAGAGCTTGAGAGGATCTGCAGAGAAAAATGGGAGAAACTCCCCAAATACAGGTGTGCCAAGCTTGTAGCGTCATACCCAAGAAGACTCGAGGCTGTAATCGCTGCCAAAGGTGCTTCAACAAAGTACTTAGTAAAGGGTCTGAATACTTATGTAAATGTGCTATTTATTTATTTGATACATTTGCAAAAAAATCTAAAAACCTGATTTTGTTTTGTCATTATGGGGTATTGTGTGTAGATATTTTTTTGTTGTTGTTTTAAATCCATTTTAGAATAAGGCTGTAACGTAACAAAATGTGGAAAAAGTCGAGGGGTCTGAATACTTTCCCAATGCACTGTAGGTCTATAAAATGAGGCCTGGATGAAGTGGCAGCTGTTATTGTGCGGTTTGTGGAGGTGAGCATCAGCCGTGTGTGTGTCGGGTGTCTCTTAGTACCTCTCAGCTTTTGGAGGTGGTTGTTTCTGTTGCAGGGCTTTGGTGAGCTCAGTGAAAAACTCCTGCTTGACTATGGGCCGACAGCACAGCAACGCACAGATAGTCTGCATGGGGAGAGAGCACATCCTGTATGTACAGATGAATTAAAACACACACACACACACACACTTTGTGGTCATGTGCTGACCTTGATGGTGACTTTAACAGTGGGCATGACCAGGTGAGTGCAGTCCTGTGTCCAGGTGTTGGCCAGTCGGCCACCCAGAGGCTGCAGGGCCTGAGACAGAGAGACCTTCCCTTCATTATCCACACAGGACGAACACACCACCACCGTTACCTGCTGCACACTGGAGAGAGGGACATAGATTTCAAATTATTGTGTGCATCACAATTCTTATGAATACTTATCATTGTGTAAATTTGGGTGCACACCTGAACTTGCTGTGGAAGACCCCAAATGTCACTCTGTCCCCTGCCGTTAGGCTGCGAGGGGTGTCACCTGACAGACGCTCCTCGTTAACAAACGTCCCATACTTAGAGCAGTCCTTCAGGGTCAGGGTCTGGCACATGACACAACACAACCACAGTCTGTTGGTTACATAGACCTCTACTTTATGAAAAACTCTCTTAACCAAACAATACAAGACGTGGATTTTGATAGTGTCTCCTTATATAACACATGCACAGCATTAGGACAAAAAAAAAACCCAGCTCTGTCTATAAGATTCATGCAGGCAAGTAAAGACAGTGAACAGTGCAAGAGCACCTTCTACTGCAAGAGAGATATGACAGCATTTGATGGACTAGAGACAGAATGTAGGGCTGCTCACATTCAGCCTTTATATTTTTCAGTTAAGTATTTAGAGTTGTAGGGTAGTGCTCTGGTTAAGTGGGTGTGTAGGGTTTGTGTGTGAGTAAAAATACAGTTACTCCTAATACAGAATATCCCTCTCTCTCTCTCGCTCACCTGGTCTGTAGCGGTAAGGTGAGCATGAGCCCGGCTGATGGACTGGTCATTGGGCAGGATGACCTCACAGTTCTTACGCCCCACCACATACTCCTTACCTGGCAGGAGGTAGTGGGTGACAGCTGGGACAGGACATGTCATGAGATGGAATAGTGAGAAAGGTCATGTTCTTATTCAAAACAACTGGAGGATGATTAAGGGCTTAATCATCATATTGTATGTCCTAGATAGAAGATTACCAACTGCAACAGTGTAAGACTGCACGTTAGCTAGTTAGGTGTAACTTTGATAAAGTGTGTCATAGGAATAATACTAACTAGCTAATTAGATAGCTAGCTACCCAAACCATTTTTAATAGCTACTGTAACAGGTTTGATTCTCATCTTCTAAGCGCGTATTCTGATACTCCAAAATACACAGAGAAACATAGCTAGCGAACAACTAGAACGAGCTGTCAAATGTAGCTAGCTAGCTCATGTTGTTAGCTGATGGGTTGGTCATCCGCTATGGCTAAGATAGCTAGCTAGCTAGAGCTGGGCAAAACAAAAGTTACCTCCGGATTCTAAAGGTTTCAGTGTCCACATTTTATATGCCACTACGAGCTATGGAACGAACCCCCCTAACATGTGTTGCTCTTCTCTGTCAATAACTAGCTAGCTAGTTAGGTATACATTTACAAATAGTAAAACATCTAATGCGAGTCCGACTTGCGTAAAAGTCAGCGCGAAAGTCCACATTAACTTCCTTTCAAAATAAGAGTCCCAACTGTTGGCATGGACATGATGCCGCTACTCATCCACTGAATCCAAATAAAATTAAATAAAATAAAATAAAATTTGTCACATACAGTCGTGGTCAAACGTTTTGAGAATGAGTCTGCTGCCTCAGTTTTTATGATGGCAATTTGCATATACTCCAGAATGTTATGAAGAGTGATCAGATGAATTGCAATTAATTGCAAAGTCCCTCTTTGCCATGAAAATTAACTTAATCCCAAAAATACATTTCCACTGCATTTCAGCCCTGCCACAAAAGGACCAGCTGACATCATGTCAGTAATTCTATCGTTAACACAGGTGAGAGTGTTGACGAGGACAAGGCTGGAGATCACTCTGTCAAGCTGATTGAGTTAGAATAACAGACTGGAAGCTTTAAAAGAAGGGTGGTGCTTGAAATCATTGTTCTTCCTCTGTTAACCATGGTTACCTGCAAGGAAACATGTGCTGTCATCATTGCTTTGCACAAAAAGGGCTTCACAGGCAAGGATATTGCTGCTAGTAAGGTTGCACCTAAATCAACCATTTATCGAATTATCAAGAACTTCAAGGAGAGAGGTTCAATTGTTGTGAAGAAGGCTTCAGGGCGCCCAAGAAAGTCCAGCAAGCGCCAGGACCGTCTCCTAAAGTTGATTCAGCTGCGGGATCGGGGCACCACCAGTGCAGAGCTTGCTCAGGAATGGCAGCAGGCAGGTGTGAGTGCATCTGCACGCACAGTGAGACTTTTGGAGGATGGCCTGGTGTCAAGAAGGGCAGCGAGGAAGCCACTTCTCTCCAGGAAAAACATCAGGGACAGACTGATATTCTGCCAAAGGTACAGGGATTGGACTGCTGAGGACTGGGGTAAAGTCATTTTCTCTGATGAATCCCCTTTCCGATTGTTTGGGGCATCTGGAAAAAAGCTTGTCCGGAGAAGACAAGGTGAGCGCTACCATCAGTCCTGTGTCATGCCAACAGTAAAGCATCCTGAGACTATTCATGTGTGGGGTTGCTTCTCAGCCAAGGGAGTGGGCTCACTCACAATTTTGCCTAAGAACACAGCCATGAATAAAGAATGGGACCAACACATCCTCCGAGAGCAACTTCTCCCAACCATCCAAGAACAGTTTGGTGACGAACAATGCCTTTTCCAGCATGATGGAGCACCTTGCCATAAGGCAAAAGTGATAACTAAGTGGCTCGGGGAACAAAACATAAAAAATGTGGGTCCATGGCCAGGAAACTCCCCAGACCTTAATCCCATTGAGAACTTGTGGTCAATCCTCAAGAGGCGGGTGGACAAACAAAAACCCACAAATTCTGACAAACTCCAAGCATTGATTATGCAAGAATGGGCTGCCATCAGTCAGGATGTGGCCCAGGAGTTAATTGACAGCATACCAGGGCAGATTGCAGATGTCTTGAAAAAGAAGGGTCAACACTGCAGATATTGACTCTTTGCATAAACTTAATGTAATTGTCAATAAAAGCCTTTGACACTTATGGAATGCTTGTAATTAAACTTCAGTATACCATAGTAACATCTGACAAAAATATCTAAAAACACTGAAGCAGCAAACTTTGTGAAGACCAATACTTGTGTCATTCTCAAAACTTTTGACCACGACTGTACACGTGTTTAGCAGATGTTATAGCGGGTGTAGCGAAATGCTTGTGCTTCTAGCTCCAACAGTGCAGTAATATCTAACAAGTAATATCTAACAATTTTACAACATATACCCAATACACACAAAACTAGTAAGGAATAGGATTTAAGAATATATACATATATGGACAAGCAATGACAGAGCGGCATGGACTAAGATACAGTAGAATATTATAGAATAGAATACAGTATATACATATGAGATGAGTAGTGCAAGATATGTAAACATTATTAAAGTGACTAGTATTCAATTTCTTAAAGTGGCCAGTGATTTCAATATGCAGCAGCAGCCTCTAATGTGCTAGTGATGGCTATTTAACAGTCTGATGGCCTTGAGATAGAAGCTGTTTTTCATTCTCTCGGTCCCAGCTTTGATGCACCTGTACTGACCTCACCTTCTGGATGATAGCGGGGTGAACAGGCAGTGGCTCGGGTGGTTGATGTCCTTGATGATCTTTTTGGCCTTCCTGTGACATCGGGTGCTGTATGTGTCTTGGAGGGCGGTTAGTTTGCCCCCGGTAATGGGTTCGGCAGACCGCATCACCCTCTGGAGAGCCCTGCGGTTGTGGGTGGTGCAGTTGCCGTACAAGGCGGTGATACAGCCCGACAGGATGCTCTCAATTGTGCATCTGTAAAAGTTTGAGAGGGTTTTAGGTGCTAAGCCGAATTTCTTCAGCCTCCTGAGGTTGAAGAGGCTCTGTTGCGCCTTCTTCACCACACTGTCTGCGTGGGTGGACCATTTCAGTTTGTCGGTGATGTGTACGCCAAGGAACTTGAAGCTTTCCACCTTCTCCACTGCGGTCCCGTCAATGTGGATAGGGGGGTGCACCCTCTGCTGTTTCCTGAAGTCCACAATCATCTCCTTTGTTTTGTTGATGTTGAGTGAGAGGTTATTTTCCTGGCACCACACTCCCAGAGCCCTCACCTCCTCCCTGTAGGCGGTCTCGTCATTGTTGGTGATCAAGCCTACTACTGTTGTGTCGTCTGCAAACTTGATGATTGAGTTGGAGGCATCCAGTATCATTTTCTACTATTAGTCCCCCATACAGTGATGCCTGCCAATGGTTCGTGAGACTATGTGGACAAAACAGAAAGGCCAATGTCTGACTGTGCTTTATGTACTGACAATATCAGTGGCTTGTATTCATGGATGCCAAGGGAAGCCAGGCTTCCCCAGAAAATGTACCAAGAAATAAAAAAAAACATTATTTATCTTTCGTCTCTCTGTGTTTCATAATTTTCCTTCAATTCGCAAGAGGCTGAATGTATCACACCAGAAAAAGCATCAGAGCGAGCGAAACAGTGCCCCGCTGTCTCTGTATGTGTAGGCCATCAATCTAATGCTGTCTGATCGAAAATAGTACGACATCGTTGCCGCCCATACGGCCTCCCTTGATAAAAAAGAATACAATAATAGCCAATCAGCGTTGAACTAAACTGAGCAAACTCAACTGTGAATGGTGTCAAGGGAAGCCAGTTTGGATTTGGCTTCACTCCAATCACAACACATCACATCAAGAGGAATACCTCATTGTTCATGTCTAGACAGCACAAAATATGTTTTTGTGGTCTGATTGTGTTCAGATCTATCTGACCACTTAAGGAATTGGTCAGGGATGCATTGTGTGCGGATTTCTCCTCAGTCTTGACTCAATCAGGCTACTGAAAGCGCATACAGTGGGAGACTTCATCAGCACTCCTCCCACAAGTCTCCAGAAAACGTGTGTTTTGGGACAGATCATCTTTTCATTATAAAGTTGGAGGAAATACATTCCTAGCGTATGGGGAGCGTGTTTGCTGGCCTCATAAATGCTAGCCAGCTAGCTAATATTTAGAAACACTTTTTTTGGGGGGGGCTAGAGTTATGCTAACTCGTTTGTAATCCCTTTAGCGTTGCTTGTTATCTTGCTTGCAAGCTACAGAGGTTAGCTGGTTACTTAGCTACAATAGTTACCTACTGCCATCAGTTGGCATTGTGTTAGGGTGCGTTCGTAAATTCACTCTGGCTATCTACTAAGATTTCAGCGCAGAATAACTGATTAATTTACGAATGCGCAACACCTGTTGAATATGACCAGTGTCAGTAAACTTAGGGAAAATGTTTTATTAAATTGTTGCCAGTAGCACAGTTACAGTCACTAACGCTCTAGACAACACGAAAAGAGCCTAACCACTTCTGCTAGGGTGAGTAAAATGGTCAGAGTGATGTATTCTCACATTTGTGTCTAGAAGTAGCAAGCAAGCTAGCCAACTTTAGCCAGTTAGCTTGGATGCTTGACTGCCGTTGTGAGGTGAGAATGCTCAGATCAACCCTACTCCTCAGCCAGAGCGTCCAGTGTATGCTCTGAACACGCTCTGAATTTACGAAAGGACAATGCTCTGAATTTAGGAACACCCAGAGCGCACTCTGAGCGCACTCTGGCACTCCAGAGTGAATTTCCGAACACACCCTTATTATCATATTTGACCTATTCCACCATTTGTAGAACGCATACTGACATTTGAATATAGCGCGGGAACGGACACAATGTGGACCTGGTGGACACATTTAAATGTAAATGAAGAGGCATGACTTGTTTGGAATTCCATGATCAGAACTCCATTATCAGAATTCCATGATCAGAACTCCATTATCAGAATACAAAAGCTGCATGAACTGTAAAGTCTAGACACGGTTATTGACAGAAGCAACTTGAATTGTTGCATCGCATTGTGTTGTTGTCATCCGGTGGCTACCTAGATAGCTAAAATTGTCCCTTTCCTACATTAGCCATGGATGGAGATAGGGATTTGGACTTGTGGTTTTACTTATTTCTCCGTACTGGCCAATGATTATGAAGGCGATTCTGATCCAACCATAAATTCATACATTGTGCCCTTGGCCTGAGAGAATGGAAGTTCGATATGTAGCTAGCTAGATGTAGAAGGCTAATGTTAACTAGCTAACATTGCCCATGAAAGGAAGTTAGGCTAGCGAGCAAGCATTTTAGCCAGATAGCCTAGAACAATACAGTGGTGTACTGTATGACAGAGTCATAGACTGTTTCGTCAACATGAAAGAGAGGAGGATGGCATTGGGGTGAGTCATTATGTTTTTTTCTACTTGCATGAACACACACACACACACACACACACACACACACACACAGAAATCAGAACCATGGAAAGCCACATCATATTTAGCTTACATTGCTTGGACTAAATTGTTTTTGGTATCTTTTAGTTGTTACTGTATTAAACTAAGCATAGGTGATTTGATGATGTTGAAATGTTGAAGTTGAAATGGTGCTGGAATAGTGGAGACAGCTCCTGTTTTCTTTGCGACTTGCGGTAACTTTCCATGGTTCTAAATCAATAGTTGTTTAGTAGTCCGAAAATGTCGGAAACATTAACTTGCTTGACCATGCTGTAGGTCATGTAACTGTCTGTTACATGCAATTTGCTTTGTTGACTTCACCGGACGGAGGTTGCTCTCTGATTTTCTGATGAAACAAAGGTGTGGTTGAATTTATTCTGCCACTGTCTTCTTATTGTCTCGGCCTTTAGGCCGATATATCACGGTGGCAAGGCATATGAACTAACAGGTTATAGAGCAAACAAAGGTTGTAATATGTTTGTTTTTTCTGGCTTGGCTTCCCCAGTGATTTTACCCAAGCACCACTATGTACAGAAGAAGAACATAAGGCATTTGAAACATATCTGTTTATTTAAACATCAGACACATGTAGGACCTAGGTACTAACGTCTTGTGGATTAAACATGTCCAATGTAACATACATTTATGAAGAAAATTCAATAATGCAGTGAGTCTGAGTTTATAACCCCTCCCCCAATCTCCTAATAATCTTTCGGTGTCACTGTGAGTGGATTGTATTACAGTAGTTCATATTCTTTGGCTGTGTTCAGACCTTGACTTGGGCAGCAGCTCACTGGAGCTGAGTACCAGCACCTCAAATTCTCTACTGCTTGAGCTCCTGTTCCTCTTATAGAATATTAACTCAAAAGTATTGTGGAGCTCCTGTACCCAAATATAAACAGTACCGGCACCCATAATGTGTACCAGAACCCATTTCAGTCCAAGTCAAGCACTGACTGTGTAAATATCAATCTATCTGCATTTGTTCATAAGACACAGTGAGAAACACTATCAGTCAATTTGTGTTTTAATCATTTCTCATCTTCCCATTTATGAGTGGCAGAATTATGGACCAATCAAAATAAAGGGCCGCTGTCAGATTTCCATGGCTGCCGCGCCCCTGGCCTCAGACGACCCCGTCCCCACAGACAAGGCAGCTTGTGATTGTCTTTCATCACAGCGATGGTGTTGCAGGAGTCTGGCTTGCGGATCACATCACACCAATCAGGGTAGTCCACGGGTTGAGATCCACTGTGAGGAAGGTAAAGAGATCAATAACACACTTTGTTCTATCAACGCTCAATACAATCAAACAGTGTCTATGCCGAGGTATGTATTGTGACGTAAAAGGCTACAGTGTGATGGTCACACTTACTGATCACAGCAGCCCACTCCAAATGGCTCCATACAGACACACTGGTAACAGTCCTTGGTCATCCAACTCTCTCCTATTCCATACACTTGGCCCATGTACTCACAGCTTCCTATAAGACACATACACACACATGGTTAATAAACTCACACACACACACACGCACGCACACACACAGGTACACACACCCACACACACACACACACATACACACAGACCTTTGGTATCGAAGTAGCACTCCCCACTGTTGTAGACAGAGAGACAGGGCATAGTGACACTCAGGATGAAGACTAGAGCCAGCAGCATCATCCTCATCATCCTCACTGGGTCTGTCATCTCTGTCTGTGGATGAGGAACCAACTCAATAGTCAGACAATAGTCAGTCCATAGGGTTTAGTGTGGTGCATAGAACCAACTTTGTCAATTATGAGGAAAGAAAGATATACTGTATACTCTTAGAATTAAGGCTATAGAAAGGAAATCAGTTAATTCCATCTTAGACAAATATTCCCTCTCTCTGTCCATCTCTCACTCTTTCTCTCCCTTAATCTCTCTCTTTCTTTTCCAAACTCACCATCTTTAATTCTCTTTTTTCCATCTCACTTACCCCTCAAAGATCCCTCTTTGTTGTGAAACTTTCGTCTTTCTCCCCCTCTATCTTCTATCTGTCTTCTTGGACAAAGTCTTCAGTTCCTGATGTCTTCTGACTGTCTTCTTGGACAAAGTCTTCAGTTCCTGATGTCTTCTGTCTGTCTTCTTGGATAAAGTATTCAGTTCCTGATGTCTTCTGTCTGTCTTCTTGGACAAAGTCTTCAGTTCCTGATGTCTTCTGTCTGTCTTCTTGGACAAAGTCTTCAGTTCCTGATGTCTTCTGTCTCTCTGTCCAGTGTTCCCTATCCCTCCTCTCAGCCTGACCCCCTTGGTGTCAGTCTTGGACTGTGGTGTGGTCTGTTCAAACTCAGATATTTATACAGCACCTAACCCCCCCCCCCCCCTCCAACTCTATAGGTCCATCTCTCTCTCTCTCTCTTTATGGTTATCTTTCTATGCCTTGGACACACACACACACACACACACACACACCACACACACACACACACACACACACACACACACACCACACACACACACACACACACACACACGTTGGTATGACTTGCCTTCGTCATCTCTTCTTGTTTCCCTGCAGTGATTGTCCCTGTGAATACAGTGTGGACTCACTCAAATAACAGTTGCCCAAGGAAGCAGTTATGAGACCCTTTTTATGGATCCCCCAAACTGGACGTGACATGAGGCTTCAGAGAGTTAAACCACTGGTGATCTCTATCAATGGAGCTGTTTAGTAGCCATTGAGCTGTGCCATCACGGGACAGCAGGTGTGTGTGCGTGTGTTTGGTTTGTAATTGTGTGTGCACCTTTGTGTGTATATGAGGGAGGGAAAGTCATTGAGAGAAGGTGTCTGCAATATTTGAGGGACCATGTTGCGAGACCACATTATAAGGCCATACAGTATACCAGACGTCCTCCTATAGCTCCTTCCACCAGCCTCCTCTGCGGTATACCCATTGCGTGCCTGAACACATTTATTTAGCAGATGCACTTTAATTTAGATTACGAGGAAGTATTTGAATGGCTGCATTTTCCAACAATTGCTTTATGATGCAATTACATTAATACATTAATGCATATCAGTCATCATGTATAACAAGAGGTCCTATCACTTATGATGAGTCATTTAAAGCTGGAATCCTTAATTGAAACAATAACAAGGCGTCAACCCCGCCTGTGTTTTGGTAAAAAGCTGAGGGATGGGCCTGGAGAAATGTAAGCACTTTCAAATTCAAAGCGAGAGCTTTGATTGCAAGGACTGACCATCCAGATATCAGAATGATAGGTTTAACCATGTTTTGAGGCTATACAGTGTTTGTTTACATTTACTTTGTTTACAAACATTGGAGTATAACAAGCCTATATTTTGGGTTCTGGTGGGGTATGACAATTGAAGCTCATGAGGCATTTATAAGTTATATTCTTCAAGAACCAATGGCTAAACTGTATATCATTAAGTCCTAAAAGTGATGTAGCAACTAAGGATTCTAGCTTTAAAATGTGTTTGTGAATATGGCATCACTGTGTTTCATTGACCTTTATAATGAATGTCATTAAATATCTTAGAAACATGCAGCCATCTAATTATGTAGATATAGGCAGTGTTATCCACACTATATCAGCGTTTTGTGTGTGTCTGTGTGTCAGAGTTTATCTTGTTATCTGTTGTTTATACACATTCATGTTCTTTCTTTTTTAAGTTGTTTGCATTCACCACCTTGGGTGTCCTGATAACACTCACAAAACAACATATACACACACACCCCTACACCGTGGGTGCTACACACAGGAGATATAGAGATCTATGGTGCTGCTGTGACCCCATATTGATCTATTCTGTCCTATCCTGGGTAAGCAGCATCTGATAGATATTCATATCCTCTGAAATCAGAAACCCACCCAGTATACACTACTACCCACATCAGCCAAATTTACATCATTGTGATGTACTATACAATTTTCCTAATACTTTAAAGTATTAGCATGTACACAGTGGTGTAAAGTATTTAAGTAAAAATACTTTAAAGTACTACTTAAGTCGTTTTTTGGGGGGTATCTGTACTTTACTATTTATATTTTTGACAACTTTTACTTTTACTTCACTACATTCCTAAAGAAAATAATTTACATTTTACTCCATACATTTATCCAGACACCAAAAAGTACTTGTTACATTTTGAATGCTTAGCAGGACAGAAAAATTGTCCAATCATGCACTTATCAAGAGAACATCCCTGGTCATCCCTACTGACTGATCTGGCGGACTTACTGAACACAAATGCTTCGTTTATAAATTATGTCTGAGTGTTGGAGTGTGCCCCTATGCATACATTTAAAAAAAAACTAAATTCTGCCGTTTGCTTAATATAAGCAACTTTTGATACTTAAGTATATTTAAAACCAAATCATTTGTTACTTTTACTCAAGTAGTATTTTATCAGGTGACTTTCACTTTTACTTGAGTCATTTTCTATTAAGGTATCTTTACTTTTACTCAAGTATGACAGTTGGTTACTTTGTCCACCACTGCATGTACACATCACAAACATGATGATATTACTCATTATCCTTAATCACATTGGCCGTTGCGTAATGACTAGCACAAACTATTAGTGTCTGGAAGTAAAGTGGAAAGTCTCTCGTTCCCAAACTACGTCAAAGATCCGATAATTAAAGTATAAAAATAGGCTGCCGAAGACTTCTCGCAATATCTCTGCATATGTAATACTGTTGAGGGACATGGATTCAGAGAGAGGGGTGAGTAAGGGAGAGATGAGGGAAAGAGGGTGAGAGGGTGAGGGAGAAAAACAAAATGACAGAGAGCAAGGGAGGGGGAGAGAGTGAGGGAGGAAGACAGCTAGGGAGGAAGACAGCTAGCTAGGGAGGGATGGAAAATGAGAGAACGAGAGAAGGAAAATGTCTCCGTGAAGTTTGCTAATTTGAAATTGAGTTTTTGGAAGGCCAATCCACGTGCATCCTCTTAAACATGCAGAGGCAACATCAGCAGCCTCCACAGTCTGGACCACTTCCTATGGATGGGCTGCTATGGCCATGGCTCATAACTGCAATAAGGTGCCATTATAATTAGCCTACTGTTCACTCCTGATTAGTGCACATCGGATAAGACAATCTTTGTGTAAGTGCATCAGTCCCAATTTAGATGTCCACAGTGGATTCAGTATATCTGCTCCTGATATCTATATAACAGTTCCAAACTATTGCAGATAGCAGAAGTCAACTGTACCCTCTTTGACCTGACAACCAGGAACAATTCTCTGTACTGCACATAAAAAGGTGCATTTGCATTTGTTGATGGACAAACCCCAGTGGAGCATAAATGGTTGTTTGTTTTGTGGGCAGAGTCTGTTGTCAGCTGCCAAACTGGAAGTGCAAATATTGCAGAAGAGATTCCCTACACACATTTTTTATTTATTTTATTTTACCTTTATTTAACTAGGCAAGTCAGTTAAGAACAAATTCTTATTTACAATGACGGCCTACACCGGCCAAACCCGGACGACACTGGGCCAATTGTGCGCCGCCCTATGGGACTCACAATCACGGCCGGTTGTGATTAAGCCTGGAATCGAACCAGGGGGTCTGTAGTGACGCCTCAAGCACTGAGATGCAGTGCCTTAGACCTCTGCGCCACTCGGGAGCCCATACTCGGATGTCAAACAACATTAACCATTACACCTCTGCAGTTCTCATTTGTTCACTGTTTTCTGTATACACAGATCTTATCTCTAGAATCACTGTGGCAACATTTCCCAGTCAGTCTTTTCCAGGTCTTTATTCAAAGTAGATGCAAAAGCAAAGACAATTATTCATTTTTTTACTAAATCTAAGCAGGCTTCAATATAGCCTACTACTACATTACATTGCCTGAATGTGGTCAATAGGTTATTTTAATAATGTGAAGAGATATAAAATATAAATGTTTGTTTCATTTTAATTTACAATATAGTTGTCCATGCTCATCTATTAAAAAACTGGATAACTCTTTAGAATAAAGTCAAATACTAGCTAATCAATAAAGCATTTATTAATGATTTACAACAATACAAACCATGATTATCTGACCCGACAGGCCTGTTAGTACCCAGGGTCTGTAGATGTGTGCCAGGCTCTGTAGGAATATGTCTGATATTTAGTTGACGTGATTACGCAGGAGAACAACCGAATATCAAACATATCACACAGCCCCTGGCCAAACAGGACCCCATGCAGCCGTCCTGTCTTCTGCCTGAAAGGAGACAGGTATGGGTGTGTTTTTAGGACAGATCTTTTGTGTGCTAGTGTTGAGAGGAAGAGAGATGAAAAAAGAAACATCAGGAAAAGGTGAAATGGACAATTCATTTTGAAAAACAAACAAACAGGTGGTATAAACTGGTTTAAGAGATTTGATGTTTGTAGTAAGTGTCCAGAGTTCCACCTGAGGGAAAGTAACAGAGCAGAGGGAAGAGCCCTTTGTAGAGAGAGAGAGAGAGAGAGAGAGAGAGAGAGAGAGAGAGAGAGAGAGAGAGAGAGAGAGAGAGAGAGAGAGAGAGAGAGAGAGAGAGAGAGAGAGAGAGAGAGAGATACTTACAATGTTTTCTATGTCCCAATACCGTAGTCCTCTTTATCTTGGTCCAGTGTGTGTGTCATCTCCATTTCCCATGTTCTGTGTTGTTGACATGAAGAGCAACAACCGTTCAATGCATGTCCCCTTCACACATCTACTCTAG